AGTTCTGCACGCAGCAATTAAGTATCCAAGTGGCGTTGATGACCTGCTGTCGCATGTTGTAGCACGCTGTCCTGTGCCGTTGACGCCATATGCCACCCTTGTCCCTCGTTGCCGTGTCGCTGTATTGTTGCCGTTGCCATTGCTGACGGGCAGGCATTGATGCCCAGGAGCTTGAGCAAGCTTTGCACCGCGTGGGTGTCGAGGCGGCCTGCATATGGCTTGTGACAGCGCGTTGCAATCTCCCCCTTACCGGACGCCTGCGTGCAGGCAAGCCCAGAGCAAGTTCGCGACATGCTGGAGGTGCCTGTGGGCGAGCAGAAACAGCTACCGTAACATCTTCGACCACAGGTCCTGGTGTCGAGGTACGGTTGCATGCATGCAGAGGTGTTCGACTCTGACCAAGATGGCAACGTGGACTTCAAAGACTTCTGGAAGGCCCAACTTGAAACACTTGAAAGCCTGAAAATGCATATGAAACATCGAACACCATGTGGCAGACACAGGACACCTACAGTCTTTACAGAGAGCACATCAGAGAACCTTTTGACCTCAGACCCTCAACCTTTCCCTAACCTTGCCCTTCGGCCTTTCGGCATCCTTTATTCAAGCTTTCAGGCCCTCGTGACGACTTGGTTCCCACTGGTCTCTGGCACCCACCTCCCGAGGCAGAAGTCACCGATAGTAGGGAGTATTTCTGGGGAAATTCACTCTGTGAGAGTCGGGGGAGGGGGGGGATTGGTTCAGGATGGCCTTCTGGATTCTGCCTTGGTTGCTATGGCTATTGTAGGGGTTCTATTCAAGAAAGGTAGCTGGGTTCCTGCCACAGCAAGCGTAGACTGCTGAATTGGGCATGGCAAAAGGTCTGATGAGCACGACATGATTTCAGCCGCCGAATCTGAAGATTCCAGATTCCGGATACGCATCGCCTTGCAATATTGGTTGTTGTTGCAAGACAATATGCTGCATTCCAGCTACCCTCAACATCTTCAAAGAAGCTGCTCAAGGAATCTGCATCATGAGTGGCACAACACGTACTTTCCCAGCACGGGCCTGGCCATGAGTGATGGCCGCAGCCCTACGGACAGCCGCTCGGACTGCAGGCACACAGACGAAGCCCTCCAAAATCCCGGGCATGAGATGTGCTACCCTCGCCTCTGCATTTGAGTTTGTAGATGCTTCTTGGCATTCCTTTGCCTCACTCGACGCTCTGCGGTCTCATGCGCCATCACCCATCCGTGCAAACCCAAGATTTGCGATGCTTCCTCCAGCGACGTTTTGCAGAGGCTGGGAGGGTGCTGGGACAAAGCTGATCTTCAAAAGATGCTGCCACTCGAGTTGCTACCAATCACCCAAGATCAGCGTCACAAGCACAAACGAAGTCACACAAAAACAAACGAAAGTTGTTCAAAATCACTCACAACACACACACACACACACACACACACCCAAAAAAGCGAACCAAGCCACAGCCCGCAGGCCTGGCCGGAGCTCCCCGCTCCTCGACCTTTGATGCTGGCCCAAGCAGCCGAAAGTGGTGCCCAGGCTTTGAGTTGCCAAGATTCAAGTTGATTCAAGCACGCAGAAGTGCGCCCAGAAGTGCGCTTAGAAGGGCTCCACGTTCCACATGGCACATGACACAGCTCGCGAGAAGGTGAAGTCTGAAATCCTACTGCCTGCAGAATCCTGCAAACATGTATGGTGTGGGACCTCCGGCATCGTCAAGAAAGCAAGGCTGACAGGGCCGGCAATGGGATACAATGAGTTCTAGAGATCCCCTCGCACCAGCCGACAACCACATGTCCTCCAGCTTCAACCCTCAGTTTCCCCCACTGGTGCTCCTGCAATTCGTCCAGCACTTGCTCCCCGTCCATCTCAGTTGCCGGCGAAACGATGTCTCACAGCCGCTCAGCCTGCAAGGTTATTGAGCGTCATGTGACTGGGTTGTGATTGGATTTACACAATTGAATGACATTAAGCAGTTGGCCCCTGTGCTTTCTAACATGGGCAAAGTCAGTTTCCAATAGTACTGATTGATCATTGAGATTAATATGACTAATATGATTAGTATGATTCATATTATGAGTGGTATGAGTGATCTGATTGATCTGATTGATCTGATTGATCTGATTGATTGATATGATTGATATGATTAGTATGGTTAGTATGATTGGTATGACTAGTATGATTGATATGATCAGTGTGATTAGTCTGAGTATGATTAGTATGAGTCGTGTGATTAGTGTGATTAGTGTGATTCGTAAGATTAGATGAGTATGATCAGTGTGATTGGTATGAATAATGATTCATGATGAATGTTGGGGTGGCGTTTGATGCCCAGAGTGAGAAAGAAACGCCTCAAATGTAATGGTCTTGAGGAGAAGCGCGGCAGCAATTCAGATTGGTTGGAATGGCTTTGGCGCAGGACCTTACAATTGAACACTGGTTGAAAACAATGAGTTGTCAAAATCGTGCAACACCGGCTGACCAAGCTTGGAACACTCGTGCTTCTGTGGTACACAATGCTATCGCAATCCATGGCAACGCATTTTCACGGCCAGGAGATACGGGAGAAGCGCCCCCATTGGGTGGCTCGGGTCTGCAGGTGTAGCATGTTGGGCCTTTTGGAACTTGGAATGATTGTCGATAACTGCGGCCGTGGGAGATCAGCAAGTACCCGCTCTTGGTCTTCAGCTCAAGCTCGGAGACTTTCATGACTCTGTCAGGTCCTTGCTGCCCCGGAGGAGGATCTGCCAGACCTTCTGCGAGGACGTGCTGTGTGAGTGAATTTTGCAAGCTCGTACGGATGTACAAGGCTGTCTGGGCATACCATGCGGGCCGAAGGCCCAGTTCCAAGAAACTGGCTGTTGTCTGCGAAAACGCACAAACTGCGTGAGGACTGCTGCAGCACAAGTGTGCCAGGCTGGATGGACAAACTTGAACTGCAGTGCATAGGTTTACGGTCTGCTAGATTCGAATCCACGACTTGCTGTAACTAGTTCTGTTCCTATGTCCAGGAAAGATGCCTTTGCCTCCCTTGATGAGATCCATCGCCGGCTGCGCGAACGGCGACCCGTGGCATTGCATTGGTACACCAAGGTACGCCAAGAAGATGTAAGTTGTTGGCCTCTTCCAGTCATTGGGAATGAGCTATCATGTCTCTTTGTTCGAAAACGTGCGCGTACATGCTTCAGCCGGTCCTTAACGAGCATGTTTCTCAGGAGAGCTGCGGCTCACGGACGAAGAGTTGGAAACCTACCGAGACTCGAATGATATTGGCGAAGACCGGATATTGGCATGTCCAAGTTTCCTCGGGCGATTGTTTGCAGCTGTCAGCTTTAGCCAAAGTGTGCGTTCTATGCTGGAATCTCGCATGCATGCAAGAGCAAGTTTGATCATAGAAGTGTCTGCAAATGTCTGCAAATTGGGTAACGCACCGACTACTGTTCGACTTGAGCATATCTAGTTTTGTGTGTGGGGTCACTTGCTTCTTGGATGTGAGTAGGCACAACGGGAAGCATTGATGCAGCCGGGGTGCTCGAACGACACTTTTGATTCCCATTAGTGTTCGAGCCATGGATTGGACCGAGTTCGTCCAGACCGTCGAGAGTCCACCGCCCAATGAAGGAGTGATCAAGGCGGCCATTGAGTGGTTCACGAATACGCTGCAAGCTCAAACTCCTGCATTGGCAGAGGGGTTCACTGAAGAGTCAGTCGAGACCAAGTTGCCAGCTGATATTGTCTTGCAAGCGTGCTGCCGTCGACTGCTACGGGCTGTGGAGGCGGTGAGCAAAGCAAAAAGAGTGCAAGCAGTGCAGTCCTCTCAGGGCTCAGGTGCCGCTGTCGCTGGAGCATCGGCTCAAAGTTTGGCAAAGCTCCTGGCGCCAACAAAGGCAGTGGATGTCTCCGCTTTGCTGGACAAGGCCTCGCTGAAAGGGCTGTGCTTCGGTCTGCAGGCGGAGCAAACGTTGTGGAACACAATGCAGAGCCATTCCGACGAGTGTCGTTCAGCTGGCAAGAAGGCTTTTCTGTTCATTGACTTGACAGGAAAGGAATGCCTCCCCATGTGGCTCACCCCGGACCAGATCGGGGGGAAGTTCTTCTTGAGGGATGACAAGGAGTGGTCCCTGCATGGTGGCCAGGCGATTGCCAACCTACAGGATTTGAGCAGAGCGCTGAAAAGCGCCACATCGTCGTCACGTTTCTTCAGGTCCTTGGGCCAGTGGCTGGGAGCCTTCATGAGGTATGCGGCGGTAGCTGTGGCCACCCAGCAATTGTCGTGGTCGGATGTGCTGTCGCACATTGATGTCGTGACTCACCTCGCCGAGCAAGAGCGCCAGAAAGGCCATCCGCCATTTCTGGCATTCGTCTACGAAGAGCTGATGCGGAAAAACTGGTCCAGACGGGCCGAGAAATCGGACCCAGATTTGAACATATCGCAGGAGATCCAAAGAGTGGACAAAGATGTTCTGGACATTGCTAGGCACCGCTTGGGCGAAGTGCTCAAGGAGGCGGGTATGGACGGCTCCATCGAGCATGCCCCCTCTGCGTCTAGAACGACTGAGGCGCCAAAGAGTTTGCCTGCCAACATCGACAACGCTCTCATTCGCCAGTCTGCTGCCACTGAGGCAGCCCGCAAGCAAGCAGAACAAGTGTCGAAGCAGCTCCTGGAAACGCAGAAGATGATCCTGGAGAAAGGGCTGGCTGTTGGCTACGGAGGAAAGGGTGAGCAGAAAGGCAAGCGGCCTGGAAGCCCAAATCAGCTGAGCAATCGGCAGATGAAGACGCAGAAATGGCATGAGAAAGGCCAGGCACGCAGAGAGGAACAGTCCAGACGCAAAGACTACTGGGGCGACCGCAGGCACTGAGGCGACACACGGGTCCTGTTGGATCCAACTGGTCTTCCGAAGGTGTTCGCAACGCTCCCAGATGTCGGGCGGAGACTGGCTCGGACTGCCCCGCCTATCTTTCTGGAGTGTTTCGCCGGCGCAGCGGTGCTCACCATGGCAGTCATGCTGGCGGGAATTCCTTGCGCAAAGCCTTGGGATCTGCAGTTTGGCGAGCAGTTCGACGTCTTGAGTGATGGCGGGCTGTTGCTAAATAGTGCTAGGTCTGGAGAGATTTGGCATGGGCACTTCGGCACACCATGTCAGTCCATGACTTTCGCAAGAGACCCACAGCTGCGGAGTTCTGAGTGTCCTTGGGGCTTGGAGGAACTCTTGCCGCGCCAGCAAGACTTGGTTCGGTTAGGGAACTCCTTGGCGATTTTCACTGCTGAGATGTGTTTAAGCCTGTGGGCAGCAGGAGCCACTTTTTCAATTGAAAACCCGGCCATGTCTTGGTTGTGGTTGCTGCAACCTTTGCAAAGAGTCCGGGCGTTTTCCTGGTGCCTTTCGCAAAACCCACACTGTTGCTTCACAACGTGCCGAAATGGCACCTAGCATGTGAAGAGGTGGTTCCTTGGCAGGGAGACTTGTGTGTGCTCCGAGGCCAAGTGTGGTACGAAGGCCATAAGGTTTTCAAAACGCATCTTGCCCAAACGTATCCCCCGTTGATCTGTGGCCTCCCTGTTGAAGGAATCTTGGGCGGAGCCGCCAGGAGCTCCGCCTGGCACAGGAGCGCAGTTGCCTCAAGCGCTGTTAGAAGCGCAGTGTTACTCTGAGGTATAGGACCGTCGCTAGGGTCTTTTCTCGTTCCTCACGGCCTCGGGGCCCCAATGGGTTTGAGCCATGACTTACATATTGACTTTGCCCGTCAGGTGAAGCATCCCAGCACGCGTGCTTTCAGAACCACTCAGAGAGGCCCTGAGGTTCGAAGCGTCGCAGGACGCTGAGGCGATTGATGCTTTCCGGGCCAGGGAGCTTCAGAGGGTCATTCACTTGGCGCAAGCGCTGTGCGAGGATCAGCGTTCATGGGCTTTGCAGGCTCCTGTAGAAATACGGCCTCTAGTTTCACTTATCCATGGTCCACTTTGGAAGGCGCTGTTGAGTGAACTGCCGTCTGATTTTAGCAACTTCCTGACATCTCTGCAGCAAGGTTTTCCAATCGTCGGCCGGTTGCCTCCTTGTTAAGGGGGGGCAACGCTGGCCACGTTCGAGGACGGGCCTCCCGTCGACGTGCTGCGGGAGCATCGAAGGGTTCTGAATCTTCACGTTGCGCAGTCTGTCTAGAGTTGCCTTTCAGTGGAGATATAGCTCCGCAGGTGAAGAAGGACCATGCTATAGGAGCCATGACGCTACCAAGGCCGTTGCAAATGGACGATTTGGAAAGGGTCACTCTCACACGTAGGATTCCTGTCAGGGAGCTTCGATCGAAGGGATGGCGCACTAGGGTTGTGACTGTGCCTCAGGATCGCGCGCAGCATGAAACTCTTGATGCTTTGGTGGAAGTAGTGCTCCATTTCTTTGATCACGCGTGTTATGTCAGACGTTGGAAGCGTGACGTCTCGCAAGCATTCAGACGAGTGCCTGTCGCCCCGGAACACTTGCAGTTCATTTGGGGAGTGTGGGCTGATCAAGGTACGCTGTGGGTGGCTCAGCACAAGGGGACCCCATTCGGAACAATTGCAGCTGTTTATTCTTGGCATCGCGTGGGCCATTTGCTGAAACTCCTTGTGCTCATGTTGTTTTTGGCCCCTGTTTGTAGGTATGTGGATGATTTTTTTGGGGCAAGTAAAGTCGGGGTGAAACTGACAGGAGGCGTGATCTTGTCAGTGCTCGCCTCTTTACTGGGGTACCCCTGTGCCAGGCCCTGTGATGAGTCGAAAAGTGCCGATTTAGCTGTGGCCATGACGGTGCTAGGATCCTTGTGCGCAGTCAGTTTTTCTGAGTGCGTCCTGTACACAAAAGTGGATCCGGAGAAGGCCCAAAAGTACCGGGCGCAGCTGGCATCCCTGCTAAGCAGCCAAACCCTGTCTGCAGGCGAAGCCTCGAAACTGGCAGGGCGTCTTTCCTTTGCAGTCACTGTGTCAGGGAATCACGTGGGGAGGGCCTTCATCAAGCCTTGTTATGCACAGGCAAGGTCACCCTTGCCCCATGATATGGTGTCTCCCAGACTCCATCAGGCCGCTGAGTGGTTTGATGCATATCTTCAGGTCTGCCCGGCCGCTGCACGCAGATGTAAAGCCACTGAACGGACACAGTGTGTCACTTGGTCTGACGCTGCCGGTGCCACCAGATGGGTGGCGGCAGTGTTGGAGGCAGGTGGCCAATACTTTTGGACCCGTATGCAAACGCCCGATTTTGTGTGGGGCCAGCTTTTGGACAGAGGGGATTCCCAAATCGGGTTTCAGGAGATGCTGGGCCTGTTATTAGTCTGGGAGACCTTTCAGTCCTGGCTGGCCGGGGCTTTGTGGGTATCTTTTGTTGACAATGACGGAGTACTGCACGCTGTCATGAAAGGAGGCGGGGGCGGACCAGAACGCAACAATGTAGTCGGTCGCCTTTGGCTTAAGTTGGCAGCAGCGTCTGTAGATTTACATGTCGCCAGGGTCGAATCTGGAGCAAATCCAGCTGATGGCCCCACACGTGATTTCTTTGAGGTGCTGCAGCGAGTGAAGGCCAAATGGGTGGAACCCCAACTCCCCTCGTGGCTGCAGCATCTTTGGTGCGTTCCAGAGGTCTGACGATGCAGTCTGACAAAGAACGTGCAAACGGAGAGTGCCTTTCAAGTTTCGCATTGAGGTAATTAAGGGCACGCCTGCACTTGTGCAAGTTGTTTAGGTTCCAAATTGATGCCTCTTGTTTTGGCTCGCGTCAGCGGCCGGTAGGATCAGGATGGCTTCGCCTTCAATTACAAAAAGCACACATGCCACGCAGCAGCCGCCCAAAGGGGCGCCGAAGGCGTCCTTGTGGGCAGCCGTGGGGTGGGTCCAGGAAGTGCTGGAAGCGCGGATTTTGGGGCAAGCAACTGAAATTCTGCGCTTGCTCAAAAAGGTCGAGTGCATGAAGGTCGACCAAAGTGACGCAGCTACCTCTGGCCTGGCGTTCCTGCTGGCCCAGCATGAAATCTGGGTCGACCTGCCCGAGTGGGGCTGCAAGCCTAAAGACTTCTGTGACAAAGTCTGCTCCATGGCAAAGTGGTTGGCAGAAGTGGATAGGTCTGATGAGGTGGCTCTCTGGCACCAACGTGTTGCTTTGCAGCTTGTAGGGAGGGGCTTCCATGCTCCTTCGCATCTTGATGGGCTGCCGGCAGACACGGCAACAAAGTTCTGTAACTTTGAGAAGGGCAAGTGTCTTCTGAGAAACGCTGTCACAGTGGCTGCCTCGCAGGCTGCTGCAAAAAGAGCAAAGCTGGCTCACGTGACGGTGGCTAGATGCCCGTCTTCGGCGTCAGCTGAGGAGCTGGCCAGTACCTGTCTCCAACAAGGTGCCTCGAATGAGTCTGAACCGCTGCTGGAGTTGCTCCTCGCAAGGCCATCGTGCGCGTTGCTGGTCAGATTCATGATGACGGATTGACGTGGCAATTGCTACAGAATAGAGCCCGGGAGTTAAAGCATGCGTCCCGGAAAGACAAGCAGTCGCTGGCCTCAGGTTTGAGAGCGTGGCACTCCTTCGCTACCATGGTCCTGGGATACCTTGCGGAAGAATCCATCCCACCGCACTGCTCGCAGCACGTGCTCATGTACTTGACGCTCTTCAATAACGCAGGAACGGCCTCTAACTACTTGGGTTGTCTGGTGTCGGCATGCAAGTATTGGGGTCTTTGCCAGGACTGGTACGATGACGAAGTTCGTATGGTCATACAAGGGCTCAAGAACCATCAAGCGCAAATGCAGCGGCAGTTGACGTGCAACACGTTGCTGTTAGATGAGGGCATCATGTCCCGGTTGGCGGCGTTGTGCAAGGAGCTCCCAGGCTTCGCAGTGGCGAGTGAGCTCTTCGTGTTGTCGTGGTCATTTTTGCTGCGCGTTCAATCTGAAGGCGTTCCACTGGAGGCAGGCGCCGATGCGGAGCTGCGAAGCTTGCCACCTCACAGGCATGCGGCAATCGTGCTGGATGAATTGGGAAACCTTCACTTGCGCTTGCGATGCCGCAAGAATCGCCCTGGCGGGTCATTGCTCATGAGACCTTGCACCTGCAATGGGCCTGGAGGTTCGTTGTTATGTGCTCCTCATCGTGCGCAAGCCAGACTCGAGCAAATGGTGCCAGGCGAACGACTGTTCCCCGCCTCAGAGAGTCATTACTTGAGTCTGTTTAGGAAGGCGTTGAAGTTGTTAGGAGTGCCGCAAGCATCGAATTTTGGTTTCAAAGCTTTCAGAGCGGGCAGAGCCACGCAGCTTGCCAAAGAAGGCAAGCCTGTCCATGTGATCATGATGATGGGCGAGCGGCGAAATGCTGCCCTTTTGAATGACGTGTCTCCAGATACATTAGATGCCGGAGTGTTCTGGCAGGAAGTGCATAGTGACACGACTTAATTTGCCATGTGTCGGGGTGCAGAAGCTTCGTTGGGAGGGCGTGGTTGGGGTGGATGCAGGATGCCGTGCCCACGTTTACAGATGTCGGTGCTGAAAGCGCCTTCGTTAAAGGGGACGTGGGGGCTCGCAGATTTCACCTGACGTTCCCAACGACAGTATCAGGTGTGCCTCATAAGGAAAACACTTGCTTCTGCACTGAGTCTTGGCTGCATCATCTCCCAAGCCCATTTTGGCCTCAACCCTTTTGAAATGCTGAGAGTTGTGCAAGCAGTACCCCAGCATTCCAAATCGCCTCGACACTCTAGGAGTGCAGTGTGTCATTCGCACGAAGCCACGCGCTAGGGGATCACCGTTGATCACCCAGGACTTTGCGCCCCAATCGTCGGCAGCAGCTTGGTCAGCTTGCTTGGCAACTGCACACCGGACTTTGTAAGACAAGCCCCGAAGTTTGGACCCAAGCTTCAGGCAAAGACTGGTCCAAAGAGACCGTCTCCTGGATTCTGGACGAGCTACACTCTGAAGGTACCGCAATGTACTGCAACATTTTGGGGTGCTTGCTGACAGCTCGGCTTGTGTTGTTTTCTCATGTGTCGCCGGCAGTTTACTTCCCTGGAGGCATGCCACCGTGGACAGAACTCTGTCACCCGGCAGCACTTGAAGCAAGATGTCCGATACACTGCCTGGACAAGTTGCAAAGCTCAACAGCCGCCAAACGGCGTTGAAGCCCTGCAAGCCTCTAGCATCTCATCCTGAAAATTATATATGCTTGCCCAGTACAATATGGATACTTATGGGCCGTATGGCCTGTGCCTGGTCTGCACTGGTAGTCCCTCAGCATGATCCTCTTGGAACAGTGGTAACTTCACCGTCCTTTTGATGGCAAGATCTTCAAAAGCACGTGACTTCCGTTTGCGGCGTGGAACTGCTAGGGCCATGGCCTGACCAGAAGCAGCTCGTGTTAAATCTGACTTTTGGTTTCCTCCCGCATCGGGGATAGGGATCAACTCAAAGAATGATCAACAAAATTAGCTAGTGATCAAAGCATCAAGAACAGGATCAACAACCATTAAAATCTTCTTGGAGGGAAGATGCAGGAAGGAAGAAAGGAAGGAAGGAATTGAAGCTTGTGAATAGAATGCCGTGTTTGCAGCTTGCTGAATTGGCGGAAATGCAGAAATCCTGGATTTCTGTGTTTGCAGCCTGCGAATAGGCAGAAGTGCTGTAAATCATTGTATAGTATCTGGAGCTTGAGAAGCATCAGAATTGCCATATCTCATAGTATGTGGAACCTTCGAAAGGCAGAAACGCTGCACTCGTATTTTGCAAAGTTCGGAGCCTGCGATAGGCGGGACTTGCTTTCGTCGTATCCGGGGGCGGTGGGGCGGGGGGGGGGGGGGGGGGGGGGGGGGGGGGCGGGGCAGCTCTACAATTGTATATTCAGATTTGAATTCAAGAGAATCGGCAGAAAAAAGGAGCTGTGCTCGCACTGTTGCGAACCCCCGCTGTATCAAAGCCAAGCCGAAGCCAAGCTGAAAATTTTCACGTCCGGGAAGCCTGTGGATAGGCAAAAAATGCGGTCATTTGCTTTTGCAGCTTGCGTTTAGGCAGAAAAGCCGCATTTAACCATATTTGGAGCCTGCCAAGAAGGAGAAGCATTTGTTTGAGAGCTTGTGAATAGGTAGAAATGCTAAATTTTATGGCATGGATCCTGCCAATAGGATCTGATAGGCGCATAAACGCAAGATTTTTGAGATCTTTTGGAATGGGCAGAAACGTTTGCCACATCTCACCCAAAACCATGCTGCGCGCCCTCTCCTGGCTCGCCCGGACAGCCCAGATGGAGGCCCTCCTCAGCATGGTCTCGAACTGGCACACATGTTGTAAGTAACAGTGGTTGGAGCCTTGCGAACCAAGACCGTACAGGGTTTGGACATATTTGTTTCTTGCCTGACTGTTAGATCCTTATTGGAGTTGTTAATCCCTCACCCTTGCCATCGAGGTCTGCTGGATGTTGGCAGCAGCTATGGCGCCTTCTGCGGTCGCGGGTTGCACGTGGTCGCGCTGGACTGACGGGAACTTCTTTAGGTCTTTGCTTGAAGAGCATGGGCTGGTGTCACCAGGTTTGTGGTCTGGGTGGATGCAGAAGTATGCGCGCGTGGATGGGCGTAGTCTGTGCTCTGGTGAACACTTGCGGGGCAACCCATAAAGCTGAGACCAATTTCTGGGCTTCAAACTGCCTCCAGGATTTGGCCCCGGCACATCCAGAGGTCCTGGCTGGTGACTTCCTGCAGATCGAGGTGAAAGATGCCGGCTCCTTAAAAGAAATGGGGTGCGGGTCGAAGGGCTCAGGGGGCAGATGCGTCTACCCGACCTGGGCATAGGGCCACAGGGATCACAAAGGTTCAAGCTCATTCACAATTTTTTAAAGATGCGGAGGACCTCAAATACCCGAAAGCCCAGGCCAAAGAGCTTCGGACCTTGGATGCCTCGGGTCGCTTGATTTCGCTCAAGGCCGCGAATGTCCCGAAGAGGTCAACCCACGTTGGGATGTATTGAGCGGAATTTATGCAGAAGAAGGTAGAATTATATGTGGAACTAGGTGGGTTTGGGTGCTTTGCCTGCAGACAAATCGGACATCGCCCTCCGAGGGCTTCGAGAGTCCCATGGTTTGCCCAATCTGTTTGGGAGGCCGCGGGTTTCGACGCTGTGGTGATGAGCCTGGCAGCTGGCTCAGGTTGACTCAGATGGCGGTTTACGATGTTAGTGGTACGGGGTCCTTGTTATACGGGGTCCCTACTATTTGGGGGTCTATATTAGGGGTCCCTAGCAATCGTGAACCCCCAGATGGTCCGGGTGCTGGATCGATTTAATTGAAGCCTGCCAGGCGAGACTAGAGTCGAATCAGTTTGAAATGGTGGAAAAGCGCCGATTCCGCCGAAGCTTATGTCGGTCTGCAAAAAAAGCTTAGATCCCAAATCCCTAAAGACATGCTGGCGTGAATCTTGCAAGAGGTCCTATCATTCCTGCCGACGCCACAGCTTCGTCGAGCCACCCGGATGACCCATGTGTGCCATGCCAACTTCATGTGTTGTTTGCACTGCCATAGTCACTATCACCGTTGTGGGTTCACACCCCACCCCGCATTTTTACTTGCACATGCCTGCCTTCGCGTTTTTCTTTAAGCTGTACATGCCCGGATCGCTCGTTTTGCAAGGCTGCAGCCCAAAACCCGAAATGGAAGGGAGATGTTCGCCCACTCATCCTCGAATCATTCTGTGGCAAATGGAGCAGCCCACAACCCCCCTGATTGTTGGTGGTATGTGTCCCCGCTACTCCATCCGAGCCCGTGCCGTTTCCTGTTTATGCCGCATCATGCTGTTGGAAACATTTGCAACCCTCATCACTCATTCGACCCAGGCGATGCTGGATCAGGCTCGCCGATGCCTGTGCCCGGGAGGAGCGCTCCTCCTCGTAGAGAGCCTTGGATAGCCTTGGGCCACAGCTCAGTCCCGGAAGATTGTAACCGTCCTCAATTTGCTGACTGAGATCGCCGATCTTGCTGAGGAAGACTTCCTTAGCACCAACCGGTCCATCCGGCGCCACACAGCGCCGGCGCTTCGAGGCCATCTGAAGAATCGGCGATCCTGGCTAGCAACCCTTGCAGTAGTCAGCTTTCCGTTGCGCCAAGCTGCGTGGGGCAATGATGGGCAATGGCAAGCTGTTGAGTTTTTGGTGCAGGAAGCGCTGTCCGCTGCTGGCTTTGAGATAAGGAGGCTCGTCTATGCAAGAGATGAAGTGGCAGCATCTTGTGTTCGTCACGCTTCTCCAGGAAAACGAAACTCCTGCGCAGCCCGAAACAACTAAACCCCAGATGACCCTGAAGATCTTAGCAGGGTCTGCCTCATCGGCACCAGTAAAACTCTGAGGCACCTCAATGGATCTACAGCTCCCATAAGCGCGAAGCGCAACAATGCTGGAAGCATTGAGGTCCCACCGCCCCATGCCCTTCTGGTCCTCGAGGTATGCAGCTGTTGGGCATCTTGAAGGTGAACGGCATCCCCACGCTCATGCCTGGCACCTCCAGCTGGGTGCCCGGGAAGCGAGACCCCATTTGCTGTTTGGGGGGAGATGTAAGCCGACGCCAGCCCAGCCTTGCGCAGTGAGCAGTTGTGAAGCACAGCAGGGAAGCTTGGTAGGTAACAAAACGCTCTCGGCTAAGCGCTGAGGGTTTCAAGTCAGGGGCTTTGGGCCCCCGTTGCGAATAAGGACATTCACTGGGAAGTGTAACACCTGCTCAGCCGAGGCGGGCAGACGTCCCGCTTCAGCCGGAGCCACTACCACGGTTCAAGGAGGCGTTTGGTTCACATGGTGCAGATGGCTAGTTGTCCCTAAACAATCCTGAGTCCTAAGCCTGTTTAAAGGAGTGGAGGTTGTCAGCGTCCAGTCCACAAGCCATACGAGCCCAGGGTTGAATCTGCCATGACTGGATTCGTATCAGGGCAGTGGGGCATGGTGCAAGGCTAATCCCGCTCTGTTGTGCTGCATCAGGACGAGATGTCTGAGAGAGCAGCGGAGCAAGAGCAAGATCTACAAAATGACGTGCAGCTTTGTTCTCTTGTTTGCACACTTGCACTGCCCTGCATTCTCAAGCTAGCCTTATGCTTGTCGTTTTTGAAACAACGGGTTGCAGAATGTTGCAGAATGTTGTAGATGACCTGTGCTCTGGAATGTGCGTCAACTCTGCTGATGAGGTTCGTCATGCAAGTATCTTCCTCGTCCTGTGCAGGAGACGGGCGAAGTGAGCTTCAGTCTCCATCATTTCTTGCTCATACCGCTGGCAAGTGATGTGCCCAAGCTTGCGACCAGTACGCTCGGGCGTGCAGTTAGCTGCAAGCGGGCTCGCATCAGTCAAGCCGTCTTGAAAAGGTTCGCCAACTAAGTGGCTTCCTAGACCAATAGAAGATCCCTTTCGACTTATTCTGCAGCAGCATACCGCAGCTGTTGCTCAAGCACCCCTGGCACTGCCAGAGCCTCGTTTCAGACATGATCGAATCTGGCTGCTAGACCGCTGGGCCGCCAGCCTCCACACTGCCTGCGTCAAGGCATGACATGCATGACAACGCGTAACGGAAGAAACCCAGACATGGATCCAGATGCATGCGTTGGGAACCTCCCAGATGTGCCACTAGCCAGGGCACGAATCTGAAGGAAGGAGTTTGCTCGATCTTACTTGGCTTATACTTTTTGTAGGGTGAGAGCTTGGGCCGCTTGAGCCATGGAGCCCCAGTCGCAATCGCCGGCGAGGCTTCCCGGGGCCAGAACTTAGAATTTTGTCAGCGGTCTCTGCTAGCGCAAGCTCCTGATCCGCAGACATCCTTTCTGAGCTGAGAGAGGCTGGCCCTGGAGTTCAGAGTGCCATGCGCTTCGAGCTCAGAGCCATCTTCGGATGCAGAATGATGTAGGTTTTTCTGTTGTTTTTTAAAGTGATATTTTGACAGTTAAAGTTGGGACCTTGATACAGGAAGGGTTTTCGGAGTGGCTGACGGATTTGGGCCCGGACACTCGTAAACGCAGGCCAGCTTCGAGTCACAGTTTTATTCTTGCACCAGAGCAAAGGCCACATGATCTCTTCCAGCTAAAGACTTTGCTGCTTCTTCCAGTCCTTAACGTAACATGGCTGAGCCTCTGCGCTGGTTGAGTCGCACTGCCACCGAAACGGCTTGAGGCTTGAGGATAGGCCGAGGAGTCCGTGACCCTAGCACAATGTACGGGGCGGAGCATGGAGCACGCAGGCGCCGGTGCCCTCCGCGCCGTCTACCTTACCGAGAAGAGGCAGCTTCGTTTCTATTTAGCAGCTATCTTCGGTAGGGTTTGCGCAGATTCTATGAGTCCGTAGGCTAGACAGAGGTTCTCAAGGTAGTTCAGTAATTTTAACGCTACGCGGCCCGCCTCGGCCCGGCCCAGCGCATCCGCGTGAGCATGGTGACTGGACCCCAAGCAATAAGGGTTGGGTTGAGGGTTTAGGGTTCCGGGTTTATGGTTTATGGTTTGGGGTTTAGGGTTGAGGGTTAGTTTAGGATTGAGGGCTTAGGGCTCAAGATTCACGCTGTTGGGGTTTAGGGTTTTCAAGGTTCAAGGCGCAAGGGTGACGGTTCGGCTTGGATTGATCGTAGGGTGCTTCGGCGTTTTGTGGGCGTTTTGTCAGCCGGGTGGGGGGGTGGGTGGGGGCGGGTGGGGAGGGTGGGGGGTAGGGGGGGGGCGGGTGGGGGGCCTTCTTCAACGCCTCTGGTCCTGCACATTAAAAAAAGGGGGGGCGGTAGGTGGGGGGGGTGGGGTATGGGGGGGGGGTGGTGGGGGGGGTAGGGGGGGGGTATGGGGGGGGGGTGGTTGGGGGGGGGGGGGGGTGGGGGGGGGGGGGGGGGGGGTTGGGGAGGGGGGAAGGGGGGGGGGGGGGGTTGTTGGGGGGGGGTAGGGGGGGGGGGGGGGGGTAGGTAGGGGGGGGGGGGAGGGGGGGAGGGGGGGGGGAAGGTTGGTGTGGCGAAACCTGAAAAGCGAAAAGGGCCCTGCTGGGGTGGGCTGCAACTGCTTCTGGTCCTGGCGAGACATCCGCTTGCGGACCCTCCTCTCCTAGGGGGGGTACCCATTTGAAGCAAAAAAAGGGGGCCGAAAAGTGGCTTTGGGTCTGGATTTGGAGGGGGGTGCCTGTTCTGACAACCTATACACCTTCGGCCCGAGGCCTCGGCGGATTTTTGACGGATAACAGAAGATGTGCAATGATTTGTTGCAGCACGATCAGAAGCAACGACTTCTGTTCTATGCAATGTTTCGAGGCATGCAAGGGAGCTTCACTGCGTAGCACGCGTAGCTAGTGCAACATCCTACTTGCAGCACAGCACTACAATACATTACAATACCACGCATGTGCAGGACTGAGGCAGGTTTAATGGGTTAAGGGCTGCACTTCATGCTTTGCAACCTGAAGATTAAACTCAGTGCTGCAGGCAGACCATGGTGCAGCCAAGTCGTCTCCGTCAGGGCCCAGATGGAGCGAGTGTTTCCGCGATTTTCCACGGCATGTTTTCACTTCGAGATGCAGCAGGAACATGACCAGGCCTGACCTGAAATTACGGGCCCACAGTGTCCACAGTGTCCACAGCAGATTCGGAGACGAAGACGCCGACAGGGCGAGGTTTCTGGTTCACCTCAAAGCACGGTGCAGCCGAATGTAGGCATGCACGTCTTAGTCCGAGGCGGCGAGCTTCACCATTGCAGCAACCAGCTCCACGTGGCATCGCCGAAGGGTTATCCTGCGACAAGGCTTGTCATCTTGTGGCAGCTGCTCTGAGAACTCGGTTGGACTCTTGTTGGAAGATTCACTTCGGCTTCAATCTTTACAATGCTGTCACTCCCACCGCTGCAAAGTCTGCAAAGTTGTTAGATGTAAGATTCTGATCTTGCGGCCGCAAGCCGCTATGCGCCATGGAGAACCTAGAGCCATGCCATTATCTTCGTGTCACCACAGGAGTCCAGGAGAAGGTGCTTGACATGTATGGCACCTGGATTGTCGGGAGAGCAAAAGTAATCTTCATTCCCGCTGCGGCGGCCTCCACAGTGCATCCGTGCATCACCATGACCTTGGGGTTGAAACTCATGCATCGACAGTACGCGTGGCGTTTCTCACTGTGTGAGCCTTTGCCATTTGTAACCTTCAAGAGATTTGCGCTTAGGTCGGAGCTTGAACAGCGCATTCAGGAGATGCAGAGTTTGCGAGTCGATGCCTCAGCTTTGAATAGTTTTGCCGGCTTCATGGCTTGTGCATGGCTTGTGCATGGCTCGTGCGTGCAGTGGAGGGTTGATTGAACACGATGGACTTTCGTGCACGACAAATCATACCAATCCGGAGCCCAGACGCGGAGGTCCGGGATCTTCGGGCTGAACTCGAGGGCTTGGGCCTCTCCACTCGTGGCCGCGTGGATCGAGAGCCAGGGCCTGGGAAGAGGGAAGCTACGCTCAGCGCCTAAGCTTTTTGATATCTTTTTGATCATTGTCATGTGCTGCGAGTTGCCGCGTGACAATCAGTCTGGAGATCTCCAAAAAATACTCCGACATGTCACGTAGAGCCCCAGGTTGATTGGATTGCACTTCACTACATCTCACGCTGACAGGTCCCTGGTTGAACTGCTGAATACAGAGGGTCGCAGGCCACGGTTGTTGCCACGCGGTCACGGAGCGGCATATCTGAAGCCACCTCAGCCTCAAAAGGAAATCTGTGTTGTACTACCAGACTCGCTTATCCTCGCGTTCATGGCCTAAGAAGGCCTTGAAAGCGTGCCACTGCTACTGAGCCTGTCCAGGGTGCTCTTCACGGGCCACGCTGAGGATGCAGAGGCCAGCATGTAGAGAGCAAAGGGATACTCAAAGGTTCCTTGTTTTTGACAGAGCCGGGGTGTCGCCGGACCTCGGTGTCTCAGATTCTCCAGCTGGCGCTGCAGCATGAAGGGATACACAATGAGACACAATGTGCATCCGCATTGCTATAGGCAATTAAAACTCGAGGCCTCGAAGGAGTCTGGACGCATAAGTTCGTCGTTTGGACCGTAAGCCGTAAGCTGTAATAGCCTGGTCTTGAGTTCCAGTTAGGGATCATGAAACGGGGTCGGCCGGCCATGGCGTCATCCCAGCCGGAGAAAAAAAGAGCGAAGAAGGCCAAGAAGCTCTTTGTGGAGGTAGGCAAGGCGCTGAGCTTCTACGTGCCTCCCTGTCAGGATGCTGCCCAGCTGCGATCGTTAGTGCGGGATGGAGGTGGCCTCATCGTAGACAAGCCTGGTGATTACGTGATCAACATCATTCCACAAGGAGCCCCTGCAGCCACGGAGCACGTGGGAGTCTCCTCGCGCTTCATCACCGACTCGGCGGCGAAAGGGCAGCTGCAGAAGGTGCGGCGCTATATTATCCAGCCAGCCAAGGCAGCACCAGCCAAGGCAGCACCAGCAAGTGCTGCCAACGCGGCAGGTGTTGCCAGAGCTGGAGATGCCTTTCCAGAAGCCAAGGTGAGAGCAGAGAGAAAGAAGTTCACGGAAGAGGATGATAATGCCCTGACCAAGTGGGTGAAGTCCAACCCAGGTCTCCGACCGCAGGGTCGCGAGATTTGGGAGCGAGCGCAGCGAGCCAAGATTACGAAGCACAGCTGGCAGTCAATGCAGAATCGCTTCCGAAGGCGCATTGCTGACAAAAAAATGTTGGAGAAGCCGGGACAGCTGGCATTAGCACTCGAAAGGGAGAAGGAGGCTGCAGAAGATCCAAAACCCGCGAAGCGAATGGCTGCCAAGCCCCAGCGTAAGAGGAGGAGATCGCAGCCAGTTGCGGACAAGGACGGCCAAGAAGGCCAAGAATCCAACGCAGGCGGATGGCCACGGGACCCTTTCTGGGGAGTGCCATTTTGGCTGCGGAAGACACAGAAGGCAAAAGGGCCATTCCCAGACCTTGCCGACTTGTGAGATCTGAGGCGTCCGAGGACGCGCTGTTGTCATGACAGTGTTGTGCAAAATGTCCCTACGGGGGTTTCACCAGACTTGCGAGCTTTCCTCGAGACAGCGCACGAGGAAAACGGGACCCCCAAAGCCTCCGAGTCCTCAACAGCCCTTAGCTATCGGATAGCTATCGAAAGACCGTGCGAGCTCAGAAGCAGTCCTCCGAAACATTGCATCCCAGCAACGTTGGCCTTCCGAATACTTCAGGAGGGCCCCACGCCTCAGAGCGAGATGCCAAAGGAGATGCCAAAGGAGCTGCCGCTCGAGGCCGCACGGCATCGGCTTTCTTGAGATCTCTCTCTCTTTCTCGCTCCACATGGTGTTTTTCTCTGTAACAACCTGTGCAAAGCTGTATTTCTCTTGAGAGTCCTATCCGAAGCCATGTATGTCTCTCTAAACCTTTTAACTTTAATAATACCTATCCGACAGCGTTTTGCTCTTTAACATCCTGTCTGCGGCTGCATATCTCTCCAAGAACCTCTTTGAAGCTGTTGTTCTTTCGGAACAAGAACCTTTCCCGACGCCGCACTTTTCTCTGAAAGCCTACCCGAACCGGTCATTCTTTCAAAAGACCTTCCGACGCTGCAATTCCCTCCAAAAAGCTATCCGTCCGAACCCGCATTTTCTTTCAAAATCTCAAAGGCTGCGTTCCCTTGGGAAGCCCATCCAGAGATGCACACGGTAATCAGCAAAAATTAGCAGGTGCGCGATGGGGGAGCGACATTTGTTGCACATGATTTCCGCTCCCAAAACCCAAAATCTCACACCGTGCTTTGCCGGGGTATCGAGTGACACGCCCGCTCGAAACCCCGCAGAAGCTTTAAGAACTCCAAGTGGCGCAGGTGCAGGAGAAGATGGAGGAACTTCGGGCGCTCAAGGCACGACGTTCGACATTCTTGATGTCTCCCGCGAGCTCGGAAGCCCCTCCGCCTGCAGGCGCGTGAGCTGCGCAAGGAGATGATCGCTCTTGGCCTGAACTGTGAGGCCCCATGTATCCCAATGTCCTCGGTGATGCAGGGCATGTGGCGGAGCTTAGGGACTGAAAGCGCCCGATCTCCACATTCGCGTTGGATGCATGCACTGCCTCCCCGCCTAGACCCAGACTGTATCATGCAGCATCAAGCCCGAATCACAGCACATCCCGTTTTACTCCAACATGCCATCAAGTGCATACGGCCTCTGGGCACAAATTAGAGTTAGGGTTTTGACTCGCCAAGCCTTCGCATGCGGAATGGTCGACCTTCTCAGACCCAAGTGTCGTGTTGTAGGCTTCGGGGGTTTGAGGCTTTGAAGCAAGGCGCTGCCCTTTGCATCGCGCCAGGGACGGGTGGACAAGGAATCCCTGTTGGAGCTCCTGGAAGCACAGGCCGCGCCGCTCAGTTCACAATCTTGGATTCTTGGTGAGATTTGGCGAGCCCTCTGAGACCTGTCAGGTTTCTGGCTGGAGTCAATCACGTATTCTTGTCAAATCAAATCCTGGCTGTTTTGGATGCTGCACGTAAGACCGGCCACGAATAGTGCAACGGCCTCATCCGCCTTCACTTCAGGGCGCTGACGCTATCCTGCACCCTCCGCAGAAAGAGGGCGCGAAGCAGAAGAAGAAGGCAACCTTTCTAGGGATGCATTGGGCTGCCTTGGGAAGGAGATTGGTGCAGGCGTCCTAATTTCAAGAGCGGCAACAAGCCAGACATGTCTTGACAAGCTTAGACTGCTTTCCGTGTTATTGACTCGAAGGGCTTTGTATGCTGAGCTCACGCGGTCGTTGCATAACAACAATGTTGCCTACTGCGCGACGCCGCTGCGTGAACGTATGCTGAGAGCTAGGGGCATGTGTGGGGCAGGCAGCAGGCATCAGCAGGCAGCAGGCAGCTGCCAATAATTTGCAGACTCGAGACACTTTCATCTGCGGTGGCTACTAGCTACTGGAGCTCGTAAGACACGCAGTCCCCTGCCAGAATCCATTCAAAGAGAAGATGAAGAAGCCACCTGCTGCGGCTCAGCCGAAGGCAAGGACAGTGCATGTAGAAGTCTGTGGAAATTAGGAGGAATTCAGGGGTTCAGGAGTTAAAAGCTGCAGGACCTGGGAGGCTTTGGTACTAGGGCCCGCAAAGTTTGGAGCTTTTGAACGTGTCCCTCATGAGGCCCCAAACCCTTAGCCCCAGTCCGCGCTGCCGTAAGATGGCTAGCAGTCCGCGATTTCGCGAATGGCAGCCGTGGCAACATTTCATCGTATGTGTCTTGTTTTCTCAGTAAAACTTTACAGAGGATGTCAGACTGGCCTGAAGACTTCCCTCGGGACATGCCGCGCCTACCTTCTGGGGCGTGTATGGTGGTTGAATATACTTTTGGTGAGCTGTTTCCTCTTGCAGCGTGGTGTAGACGCCTTAAAGCTGGTTTGCAGACGGGAAGCGCCGGGACACTTTTGTGAGCATTTGTGCTCAAGTCAGTTCTGATGCCGGTCCAATGAATTGTTTGAAATGTAGAGCATCCAAATGCACTTCCTTCTCATCATTTTTATGAGAGCAGGCAACACAATTTCTAAGCACATGCCGATACAGCCGCGGGAGATGTTGTTGAGCGGTGCTGGAGACCCGTTGTAGTGTAGTTCCGGTCCGCTGAGAATTCTTTCTTGGAGTTGCCCGTCCTGGATAGACTGGCCGATGGTGCTGCCATGGAAAGACCCGGATGCCCAGGCCGATGATTTCCGGGCCTTGAAGCTGTGACCTTTTTTTAACCTGCCTCCTTCTGAGAGGATTTGGATCAAGCGGATGACAGTGACAATGACAATTCCGGGGCGAGCGATGACGGCGATGGCGGATCGCCTGAAAAGACTGCGTGCATCATCGAGGCCAGGTGGAGATGTTTCAATGACATTTCTGTGCTCTACTCTACGACTCTACAAGGCCGATCAAGGCCGTACAGACGCGAATGTCTGGAGGTGCACAGGAGTTGCCGTTTCGTAGGCGGCGTGTGTTGTCGGCAACCGTTGGCGCAGCAAGCCCACAATGTGGTTGAGGGAAGGTCTTGCTTGTCTTCGGCTGAATTGCTGCGCGGTGTGATTCAACTTTCAAACCACAGATCGAGTCTATAGCTCATGCCAGTCCACGAGCTGCCTTTCCTTGTTCAGGATGTCGCGGACCGTGCAATCACCGTGAAGCAACTGCGCAACCTGCGAACTTTCCTCCAGTACCTCACGAAAACAGAGCTCCTGAAGAATCCTGGCCACATAACTCGAAGATAGTGAGTTCGGGGTCGAGATCCCAGGCTTTTGGTGCTTAAAGTGCAACTTTACCGTTACTGGGAACTGATGCAGATAATCAGGCTGTGCAGGTACTTCGGCTGGTCTAATTAGGCTGGTCATACGGTGAGCTCTTTCGTCTGATGCAAGGCATCATGATAACATCCCAGAACATTCCCAGACAGCATCAGAACAATCCTTGCCTGCACCGATACTCGAAATTTGCAGACTGTTCCATGGCAGCTGCTTGAACCCTAACGGCCCTTTAAAGGCTTAAACGGTGCCATTCCTAAACTTTCGGTCTGCGAAGGCCTCTACCCGACTCTACCCATCACCCGAGTCAGTTCAGACCTTTTAGGCCCCCATCATTCGGCAAATCCTCGTAGAATCAGGTTAACGTTCCAATAGCGGTAGCCGTGACCTCGGCAAACAAGCTGCGACCGGGGTGGCGGTCAACACCAAGGTCCCTATTTGTTGTTCAATTGTGCTACTGGCATTGGCTTGGGTACAAACTGCATTTGAACAGTATACGTGCCTGCTGCAAGAAGCAGTGCTGCATGTGTCTGAATTTGACATGGAATGTGCAATGCGGAAGCTTCCCCTTCAATCCTCCCCGACTACTGTAGTTACATCGGTGTTGTGTACCCTTGAAATGTCTTCTGGCATGAATGTCTGCAACCCAGGCACACCAGCGAATTCTCCAAGGGAAAGGGAAGCTTTGGGAAGCTCATCCCATGGACGACCCTCAACATGTGCCCTGATTGCATGATGATTCGGCAAGAAGGTTCAGAAAACCCTGATGACACGCTTTGCTTCCTTGCTCTTTGGTATTGCGGGTGTTCCTCTGATGGTTGCTTCCAGGATGACTTCCATGTACTGCGACAGTGTTGCCGGATCACTGCATCCCAAGTCTGCTGTTAGATGCCTTAAGCTGCTAATTGCAGACAAGGGTTGCAGAGCATCTCGCCTCTTCGACAGATTCAAGGCACAGACACACTTTGACATCTTTGGAAGCTGCACAAGTCGGGACGTTCACAGACTCCACCACCCCGAACTCGAAATCCAACAAAGGTACCACATCACCAACGAGGTGATCAAGAAGGTCATTCCGCACGTCGACCCCAAAGGAGAGCGTTTGGATGAACATCGACGCTGGCAACCTGGCACTGTATTGCACGGAAGCGTGTAAAGTTGTAAAGTTGAAATGCAGCTTCGCTGCATGACCCTGTCCTGTGCTCCCGAATTTTGCTTCAAAAGGCTGCAGCCCCAAAGATCCAACTCGGCAAGGAACCAGTCTCTTCATTTCCTTTGGGGCATCAGAGGTACAGCTGGGTAGAGTTTGTTGCGGACGATCCGCAGCCTGCCAAGATAATGTTCAGCCACTGGTGGGGAGGACCGCGTTGGGTGTCATGTGTCATGCAGGTTTCCTAACCATGTTTACAAACTCCAGGACTGTTACCAGCACCCAGCACACAAGCACGGAACAGAGAACATCCCCCCAGTCTTGCCTGAACATGACCCAGCACAAAATGAAGGCACAAAACTTCAGGCCCTCAAAAGCGGTCCAAAAGCAGGGCGCTTCATGGACTTCATGCAGGCGGTGGACAACATGACCATGGACCGTGCCCTGAGCACCTCAGCTTCATGGCTAGGGCCGCTAGGGTGTGCTGATGTCGAATGTAGAGGTATGTAGGGCTCTCTTTGCCCACCCTCTGTGGGCATCTTCGAGCTAAGTCATCTAAGGCATCTACACACCCATTTGGGTCTGCACCTTTGCGAACTGCCAGTTCGGGGAGAACTTCGGCTCCAAGCTCATGGACTGGTCCCACCTTCGTGCAGATATTGGGTACCATATCCCTATGCGAACCACATGCGCGCACCTGAAATGTATGTATGTGCGGCAGGACTGCCCTTTCATCCGCACCCTGAAAACAGTGGACCTGACAGTTCTGATCGTGGACTCTCAGGCCTTCCACGGAAAGGGCGGGCTCATGGAATGGGCGGAATCGGTACGGAATCCATTGCCACATCAAGAGTCTTCCTGCTACTGCTTCACTGTTCTCGCACGAGCACAAAATCACCGTCAGGTCAAAGTCAACCCCATAAGCTGCCGTAGACTGCCGAATAAGACAATCTTCTAGACCATCCCCGCGACCCAAGCCACGTTCAGAGGCTGGCTCGCTCACTCGGACATGGTGCGGACTTGAGGCCGGTGGAACATTGCGAGCAAGCCATAACAAGCCCATATAAGCCAATCGAATTGGGAGTTTAGTCTGCTGTTTAGGGATCAGGGCTCATCATTTTTGTAGACGATTTGCTCCAGAGGCTTTGAGCCTCCGAGGGCCTACTGACATGCCATGAAATCATGATTTCGCGAGGTGCATTACACCACGAACAACGACATCGACTTCGTCCTCTACACGTCCGCAGGGCGCGTGGGCTCCTCTTACGTCTCCGGTGGGCCCCTGGTCGAGGCCGCTGTGTGGAATTGGACTTAGATCAGAGGGCTGGCTTGAAGCCCTTTGCAGCTGCTGTGGGCGCAGGCAGTGAAGAGCTGGGACATCCGCTCCAGCGAAGCTTCGGATCCGCAGTATCGCCGACAGATCCTGAACTATGTGGCACTTCACTTGCAAAAACTCACGTTGGAAGGTCGAGATCCACCCGGAGCCAGAAAGCCATCGACCCCCATAGCCAGATATACATATCTAATATGCAGATCGAAATCGAAATAGGAAGGAAGGCACAAGGGGAGAGCCAGACCCAGCATTTAGAGAAGGTTCAAGACCAATTGTTCGAAAGTAAACAAGGCCTTCAATTCTGGTTGGGGCTGTTCAGCATGGCCTTCTGGCCAAGGCCAAAGTCAATGAGCTGGAGGGCCTGAAGAAGGACTGGACTAGACTTTAGATTCACTTTCGGTCTTTGCTGTATCTGCCGCAGAGTCGAAACGCGGCGACGGCAAACCCCATGCCGTCAATACGTGTCTTTCGCAGAATCGGTTGGTAATCGGAGGGTAATCTGGAATGCAGGTCAATTTCCCACTTTGTTCGAGGACAAAAATGGTCGGATGGTTTTGGACAGCATGGGTCGACCTTCCCTCGACGGCGACAGTCGAGATCCCTCCTGGCAGAGCCGGTCCAACGGTGCCCTCATCTGCAAATAAACCATGATTCACACCCTGCTGGGCATTCATCTTCGCTGTGAGATCTTGTGAATGTTAACGCTATGCTCAGCGGTGCTTGTTCTGCTCGAAGCTAGGGGATCGGGGGGGGGGGGGGGTGGGGGCAGGGCCTGCTGCACGATCCGCTCCCGGACACGTTGGGGGGGGAGATTAGAGGTGGGGTGCCTGCTTTGTGCCTACCAATACTTGCTGTTGCCTTCAGACGCCAGCGCTGGGAGTAGACGGTTTGGTTAGTCGAGAGCAGCTGCCGCCAAAGTTTGTCCGGAGGATCAGGGTTCAGCTGTGTTGGTGCAGACCTTCAGAAGGGAGAAGTGGCCATCTACAATGGAGTCTACAGTCTGCAGTTAATCTGCGGTGACTGTTCAGGGATGAACAGCTGCCCTAGGTGAGAAGGAGTACTCTCACGAAGCCAACCTGTTCAGGAAGCATGCGCAGCTGAGCTTCATTTAAGAATGGGAAGAAAAGAACCACAGGTCTTTCCTGCTCATGTGAGGCTTAAGCTGAGCGGGAAGGGAATTTGATCGAACGAGGTTGCCAGCCCCAATTCTGCGGAACACCATGTATCTTGAAGTGCACTATACAATTTGTACATATTTGTACGACCAACGTCGATCGAGCAGGGGCTCCAGGACCAGCACCCCAAAACTCCGAAACCCAAAATGAAGGATAAACCACGACAGTTCTGAGCAACGTTTGCAAATTTCGTGACACTGGGAGTGCAGCTTGGACTATGGAGTGCGGGAGATTTGATCAAGACCGGTCCTAGTAGGTTGTAAACGACAAGGCCAAGAAATCACAGACCACAGGCCGGGGCATGCTCATTGCTGCTTCTTCGACCCAAATGTGGGCTCACGTGTTTTTCCCAACGCGAGATTCCCCTAGTGTGTGCTGCTTTGGGGGTGGTTAGATATGATATGAGGACCCAGTTCCAGAATCCCAAACTGCCGAGAGCCGAGGAAGCGCTTCGAGCACCTGAACATGATGGTGCGCTTGCGTGTCATGGCGAACTTGGGCTTGCCCAAGAAGCCCAAGGGTTGCGAGGTGGGGGCTTCACACAGAACAACTCGTCGGGCAGGTGAGTGGACCTTCTAGGCCTATCAGGGTCTGGAGTTCCAATAGCTACAGCAGGTTCCGGAGATGGGCTTGCGCGGGATGACGCTGAATCAGCTGCGAGTGATGACAGCAAAGCTGGAGGCTGAGAGCTCAGAGGGGGCTTCGGGGCACTGGCTTTGCTTGGGTAATAGAATTTACAGGAGTGCGGTCCGAAGGTCAGCAACTATCGGCCTATGGCGGGATGCGGATCAAAAGAAAAATTATTTAGGATCAAGAACAAATTTTTTTAGGATCAAAAAATAATTTATTTAGGATCAAGAAAAAAATTTATGGTCTTCCGACGGAGAGAGGGAATGGGAGGAGGGAGGGAGAAAAGGAGGGAGGGAGGGAGGGAAGGAAGGGCGGAAGGAAGGAAGGAAGGCAGGAAGGAAGGAAGCAAGCAAGCAAGCAAGGAAGCAAGGAAGCAAGGAAGCAAGGAAGCAAGGAAGGAAGGAAGGAAGGAAGGAAGGAAGGAAGGAAAGGAAATGAAATGAAAGGACAGGAAAGGATATGAAGGAAAACATAACATAACATCATGTGTTATAGTATATATATATATATACATACACATATATATATATATATGTATGTGTGCGTATATGTTAAATCAAAGTAAAACAAACTATTATAGTGGCATAGAGTAGAATAGAACACAATATCATAGAGTATACTTTTGTATCATAAAAATATGATAAAATCGAAATAACAAAGCATATATGTATATATTTACTGCTATTTGATTTGATTAGAATTCATAATACACTATACACAGTTCTTGTTTGTTTGGCGCCGGGCAGGCTTCTTCAACGCGTATGAAAATCCCTTCCAAACTCATGATGCGAGCATTGTGTTTGCAAATGGGGGGGGGTCTGCGCCCCCGCTTCAAAGCCCCCGCTGTTTTTTAAAGCCGGGCAAGCTTGCTTCAAAGCATATGAATATCCTTTCCAAACCAATGATGCGAGCGTTGTGTTTGCAAATGGGCCGGGGGGGGGGGGGCCCCCAACCCCCCGGCTGTGTTTAGTCCGGGCAAGCTTGCTTCAAAGCACATGAATCCTTCCAATCCCATGATGCGAGCACTTTTTTGCAAAAAAACATGAAGACACAATAAGATACAATGATATACGAGAATGTATTACAAAAAGATGCAGTAATATACAATAATACACAAAAACACAACAATATACAAGTATGTACAAGAATATGCAGCAATTTTTCACGTAAAAAAGACTAACTTACAATAATTTTCAGTAATTGACAATAATATTCAATAATAGACAACAATATACAATAATATATAAAAATGTACAAAAATGTACAATAATATACAACCATATATAGAATAGTGTACAAAAAATTCAATAATATACAATGGTAGACAATAATCTACGATAGTATACAAGAATATACAATAATGTACTATAATATAGAATAATCTGCAATAATATACAAAGAAAATTCAATAATATACAATAATATACAGTAACCTACAAAAAGCAAAAAAAGACAACACAAAACAATAATTTTAAAAATATACAAAAACATTCAATAATATGCAATATTATACAAAAAACACAAGAAAATACAAGACAATACAATAATGCTCAACAATTTATACAACAATGTACAATGTACAATATTATGCAAGAATATACAATGTCGTACACTTTTATACAAGAATTTCCACAATACTATGCCAGAATACACATGCTCATGCTTCAGAGTGTACGCATTTTTTTGAAACTTCTAATGCCAAGATGCCAGCATTGATTTGCAGCCTCTGCAAACTCAGAAATGCTGCTATTTGCAGTGTTTCCAGCCTCTGAAATCGCTAGATTGGCAGTTGAACGAGTACAACGTGCTTGCTGGACTCCTTTGAGGCAAGATCACCGCCCAAGACGGCGCGCTGCGATGGTCGCAGCTTATCTTTGGCTGTCGAGTTTTTGGGCAGGCAGGGAGCATGAATGCCCTGAACAATGTACTCACAATTTTGCCCAAGGCATCCTCTACAATATTGTGGCCTGTAGTTTCTTTCACATGGCGCGTTCTTGGCCCCTGTGGTTAGTTATTAGTTTCACAGGGCAGCCACTGGAGTTTCTTGGCCCTGCCGGTTGCTCGGTGGTTCGAGGCTGACAGGTGCCGTCAAGCGAGCTTCAGCCCGCCTAGGGCTGCGTCTGACAAGGACAGGAAAGTGTCAACCTCAGCGACAAGACAGTCACCAAACATCAAAGCCTCAGAATTTGAGAACGTGAGCTGCACATGCTAGCTGCTATGGTTCTGACAACAAGCACCAGGCATGCTTGATGATATGTCTAGAGACATACTGTGTTTGAGCCGACGATTCGTTGCAGATGGGACCGTGTTTAAGGCCGGCCTTCTGGTGCATGTGTTTGTGAGAGAGAAACACACTGCATAAGTCCCCTGGGCAGGGCCTCAGTGATCTAGCTAGTAGTACAGGGCTTCAGGTTGTTCCAAGCGTGAAGCAAAGTTGAGGAGGAGACTTGTCGCGAGCCAGAAGGGTTCCCATGTCATGCGCTGCATTAGGTTCTGGCGGTTTCTGGTGCGAAGATGGTAAAAGGGCATCGTGGAAAACGGGGAGGTCCGCAGCTACGTACACTTGCTGGGCTTTGGTGTCGATTGCCCGGGCGCTGAGCTGAATAGCATGAACTTCACCCAGAGGACAGGTTTATAGTATGTAGCCGAGAAAGGCAAAGGAAATGGGAATCCCGAGGGCCGCAAGCTCAAGAGTGGAATCTTGGCCACCGCCTGGCGGCTGCCCTCCCCTTACTGTTAACTTGATCATGCAAAGATGATATAGGAAGCAGAAGCCTGTGCTGTGGACGGCATCTCTTGCTTCAGTGTTTGGGCTGTTGCGGACTTGCGTGTGACACAAAAGATCGCTGGCAATGACGGCCATGCGTCTTTGCACATTGATGTCAGGCGTTGAATTCGTCACCGCCTGGGCGAGATCAAAACGCACTTCAGCAGCGCATGCCCTGCTCGCAGACATGGTGGGTCAGCAGGGCTGTTTGTGACCAGTGCCATGCTTTCGCACTCCAACAGTGTTTCTCGGCTCTTGGAGATCTCTGGCGGCCCGAAAACCGGGCGGTAGCCTGGTCTCACGATGTGGCAGTTCCTCTCGAGCACGCAGGCCACGTACAGTAGGGACGTCATGTTGCAGCAGTGCTAAGCCGCAACTTGATTCGTCGATTGGGGCACGGGTTAAGTAAGAGGTGTAGGATACGAAAGTCGTCCTGGCCACATTCTGAAAACTGAAAATGCCGGTCCACAGCAGGAACATGTTAATTTCTGGGACAATTTTGTTGTATTCTGTGGAACTTACCTTGGCATTGGTGTTTTCTCCGTGGCCGCATCTTGTCTAAAGTCTAAAGGGAGTTCGGCTCAGCCAAGTGCCTTCACGCAGATCAAGATGCCGACAGCGTACCCGCGCCCTTAGCCCTAGGCCCCAGGCACGACTTCGGCTGAGGTGCCCCGTGTCTCCAACATGTACGAAATCTCACCCATCCAGCTGGTGTCTCGGTGCGTTGACGGGGTAGGAGGCATGTGCACTGGCCTAATAATGCACATATCAAGCCCGAGACCCGGCTCCTCTGTGCAGGAACACGATCGTCAGCAAGACCCCCCCCCCCCCCCCCCCCCCCCCCGCCCTCCCCGCCCCCCCGACGACGACGACGACGACGACAACGAAGACACGACGACAACGACAACAACGACAACGGCAACGACAATGAGGATAACGACAACAACAAAAACGACAATGACGACAACAAAGACAACGACAATGACAACGACAATGACAATGATGATGAAACAAGTCGAAAGGCACCAACAACCACGATGGCTTCTCAGCCCCAACCCCAACAAGCGGACAGGGTTGGGGGTGGTCTTTGTGGGAGAATCGGTAGATGCGTGCACGCGTAGAATTTTAGTCAACTTTACAGACGCCCAGAATGACGTCCCAATTTTGTACCGCAATGTCATTGAAGGACATCGCAAATCAGGGCAATGTTGCGCCTAGGCCGGGCATCATTTGCGAGCTCCCCTGCCGTGGAATCTGTTATGCGCCTGCCTTAGTGACTTAGTGAAACCTTGCTTTTGACCATGTTTGTCTACGGGGTCAATTATGCTTCGAGCTTGGATTGTTGATGATTGTTGGAGGACTGTTGGAGTGCTGTGGCCATGCGTGCCATATGTTGATATTCGCTGCAGCAGGGTTTCGGACATTTTCGGGCTGTCAAGCCTCAGCCTTCCCCCCCCCCCCCCCCCCAAAAGCCTTAAACAGCCCTAGAATACCCACAAACCCCATTAAGCCGCAAACATCACCTTAAAACAAAACAGCAACAACTCCCAGCTACAGCCCTCAAACTCCTTCCCGAGCAGATGCTGAGAGAGCGCGCGTCTACCCTAAGTTTTGAGATTTTTGAGGCTGGTGGTGTTAGGGTTTAAGTTTACTCTGGTTTACTCATTCTCATCGGTTTGTCCAATCGGGCAGCACAGGCCGGTCGCGGCCTCTGCTTGTGCTGGCAAAAGAGCCTCTGAGCAGCCTAGCCTAGAGTTTGAGGTTTCTTCACACGGAACCGGCGTGCCACAGGGACAGCCAGCCGTCTACATGCAGGCCCCGATTTGCGGGTCAAGGCCAAGGATTGGGCTTGAGGGTGCAGTGTACACTATTTCCAGCCTCTGAAAGCGCAGAACTGCTTCTCTGGAAACTCAGACATGCTGCTATTTTCAGTAGTTCCCGCATAAATGCTCTATTTTTCCGGTATTTAGGCCAGAACTGCTGCATTTCTGAGCGTTTACAGCCTCCGTTCCGCTTGCAAGAAGCCTCGAAGCCTTCAGTAAATGATTTTTTGATCCCAAATAAGTTTTTTTTGATCCGCCTAGAAATAAATTATTTTTTGATCCCAAATAAATTTTTGATCCCCTACCCCACTATGGCCGTGATGAGTCCTTCCAGGGAATGTGTTCATCATTCCTCTGCTAGTTGCTTTGGCTGTTGCTGGTACGAGACGTGCCTTGCACTCGAAATCTGGAGCGTTCACAGGCAACCTGCCCTTGGTCTGCGGATGACGAGGATTGTGTTTGGTATGAGCGCAGCTGGGATGCCACAGTATATTGAGAATGTAAGAATAAGTGAGTGCACGGTGAGTGCACGTAAAACTGCGAATATGCAAGGATGGGTTGACTTGGATGGGTGCTTCAGCCCGTAGTCCGCGTCACAGACTGGCAGTACGCCTGCCCGAGGCTTGGACCTGGAGTCTGACAAGCCCTTGGAGTACGAGCAACTACAAATTCAGCATGTAAAGGAGTGGGTTACGGAAATGACGGAGGAACGTCGGTGCTCGTACATGGAGCTTGTGTCGGATGGATCCCAAAAGCCGCAGCCAGCCCAAATCAGAAACAAAGTGTTTGGGGCATCTTGGGACATCTTGCGCTGTTTCCGGCGGCTCGGTGTTGCATTGTTGCTGTCCCAGTTGCCTTTCCCTGTGTCCAGCAGACAATCAGCCCAGGCAGTACGCGATCACCTTTTCCGAGAGCAGTTTCTGGAGCGAGCGCATGTCTGCGATCGAACTGTTCGCGGAGGCCCAGCACCTGCCAGATTCGACGATTTTCTTTGTGGAGATACTCGGGATTAACAGTCACGACGACGACGAAGACGCGGAGGTGTGCTGGAAGTCAGTGAAGACTGAGGTGGAGGGCATCATCTGTCAGCTCTCCACCCGAGCTGAGCTGCAGGATGATGAAGGCCTTGGCTCCCTGATCTTTGAGGCGCCAGGATCGCCTTGAAACAAAAAAACGGAATCATTCAGAACCTAGATTATAGGTACCCTTTTCAAGGACGGCCGATGCTCCCAGGTTCTAGGCGAGATAACTTAGAGGGAGCCATCCCGACCCCAACGCCAGATGTTCGTAATGTTTCAGGTGGGCACGGACAAGGGCATCTTCTTCGCAAGCAGCGGCGGAGTGCTGGCCTGCAGCCAGGCTTTCCGCAGCGGCAACTGGGTGCATGGCGACTTCGATGTCCAGGTGATCTACAAACTTCTCAAACGACTTCTGGACGACGCGCCTGACGAGCCTCGTCATCAGTCCAGTCGGTTCAGTAAGTCTCTGTGGGGTTGAGTGGCAGTGGCCACGCTCTTTTTTCTTTTTCTGGCTGGTGTATGCAGAAAAGCCCGGCTATCATTGGCCGTTCTATATTCCAATTCCCGAGGGCTCGATCAAGAGTGGCTTTCGAGCTGCTCAAACAGACTTGGATGATACGCAAAGACCGGGCCAAGCCCCGGCGTGTAGGCGCTAAGCTATAGACCTCTTGGTTCCGGGGCACCCTGCCATCGCAAGAACCATTTGCCTACTATGGGGGGGAGAGGCCTGCACTCCTGAAGAGGTGCCGGAAGCTCCCAGAGACACAGTCTCGGGTTTAAGCGTGTTTGTTTTTTTGGTCCGAGCCCTGTACATCAACGAGGTAGCTACATGGCACTCTAGGGCCCATCTTATCTGAGAGGATGCGACCCAAAATACGACGAAGGTGAGAGTGCTTATCGCCTGAGGGCTTTCTTTTTCTCCCTTCTCATATTTCCCCCAAGCATCTGCCCAGGAGAATGATGGCGATGACGAGCTGGTGGAATCCGACAACCCAACTTTCCGCGGTCTACTCCGCAGCATGGCAGGGAGTGAGATACGGGTGGCGACACGATCTCCCATGAGTCCAAGAAGTGTCCAGCAAAGGCTCATGTGGCTGCCTTTGTATGTCCGTCAGCAAACATCCCAGACAAGCGAGTTTCCTCCTGTATTGATGCATTCCTGGTAATTTGGGGGGAGAACTGCAGGATGTCAGACACTCTGGCAGCAAATCCCAGGCCTTCACCAGTGGCTTGCCGGCCCCGTGTTGCGAAGGGCCGCAAGGAGACCTCAGCCCGTGAATGATTGGTGTGTGTGTGTGTGTGTTGGCGGATGGTGTGCTTTCAGGTTGGTGCTGGCGTGCGTGACTGCCCATGCCGCCTAAACACCACACCATTCACATTTGTACGGATGCTTTCGTTTCAAGCATGCCCTGGGTTGAGCGTGCACCGTGCACTTCTACTGCCCCTTGATACACCGCCCACACACTGCGCCTTAGTATCTTAATGGGAGCCGACATCAAGCGTCATCAAGCAGTGTGCCCAACCCACGGCCTAAAATAGTCAGTTCTGCAGGAACAACGATGTGCAGGCGATCAAGGACATTTGCAGTTTGCCTGGCCTGCGGCTGTCCGGTGACACCATGAAAGACAATGTCGGGAGGACTGCCGCCAGATAAGCCAGGGCAGACAGAAGCGCCAGAATAGGGACAATGACCACATGGCAGAATTTTCATTGCGCCAACACCTGCGCAGTAACCTCGGGCTGCACACGCCGTGTTCTGGGCTCGGGATAAGAGAACAAAGGTACGATCTAAACATTCTAAACATATCTAAAACGTGTCTAAACCAAGGCAGAACTCAGACAAGGAGGCTTTAGCAAGCTTTCGGCTGAAGGGCTTTCAGGCTCTTAGAGTGCCCAACGCAGCAGGATGCCTCTGCACATCGCCATTGCCAGCCGATCCTGGCCAGCCATGACAGTCTCCTGGCAACATGATTGATCATTTTCCCGCTCTTCTTTATCGTTTAGGGTTTAGGGTTTAGGGTAGATCGTGTCTCCGTGAGTCGCAAGTATGGCTGTCGATAGTTGCTGGCATAGATTTTGGGCATGGTTTGAAGGATTGTGGGAGCCTCGAAGCCCATGTATTCAATGTATTCCCAGATGATTAGTCTTCTTCCCTCCCTCGTAGTATCCAACCCCTGTGGTTCATGGTTGGTTTAGATTTCCGGTTTTAGGCCCAGGCCCCCCGGATTTCATGGTCTGTGGTTCATGCTGGGTTTCGGGGCTAGGGTTTTTAGGTTCAGGGTCTGGGGTTAGATTTAGCTTGAGGGTTTAGGATGTTCACTCTTCCCCGCAGTGGTTCATGGTGGGTTCCAGGTTTAGAGTAGAGGGTTATGTTGAGGGTTTAGGTTCGGGGTTTGGTGTTTCTTTTCTGAGGTGGTGGGGGGGGTGTACCGCAGAGACGTGTGTGGCGCCACTGGCCTTTCCATGGTATGCCCCCCCCCCTCCATTCCAACCCTATGCGCACTCCCCACAGCTCAGAGGTCCATACATAGAACCCACTTGGGTTCCAGAGGTCCAGGGTTTTGCCACTTGAGCCTCCCTCACCTTACCGTCGCCCGGGTGAGCCTCCCTGGCTTGTTCTGCTCACATTCCCGTACAGTTGCCCGCCTTATCTAACAGCCCCCCTTGTCGGCAGGGGACACATGAATTACAGCCCTCAGACCAACGCCCAGCCACCGCAGGCTCTGTTGGAGGCGAAGGCGGATCCAAACGTTGAGGTCGGATGCGGAGCGCGGCATTGTAGTACTTTGAGCATTTCAGATATCTCAGATGCCAACATTAAGGGTTCACGGATTCATGACCCCCTAGGGAGTAAATGCGTCTAGGCGTCAAGTTGTGGCTTAGCTTGGGAGGCGAAGATGCTTTGCCACCCTGCTGCCCGGAACCCCTGAAACCCTGCGGGGTTCATCTGAAATCCCAAGCCATGCAAACGTTTCAGTTCGTAGGAACGGGTCATGGCAACTGAATCCAAGAGATGCAAAGAGATGCATCAATAGAGCATACATGTATCTAGACTCCACATGCCTCCATGCTGGCCGGAATGATTGTTCAATGTATGTGAACTCTCCGTGTCACAACGGCTGAGCCATCCAAGCCTCTCCAAAATTATTTACCTCGAACATCCCCACCTTCATGGAGTCTCTGGGGTTAAGCACTCCAGGGAGACTCTGTGGTTGGGCACTCCAGGGAGCCCTGGGGTTGGGCATTTCAGGGCACTCCAGGGAGACTCTGGAGTGCCCTGGGGCGTGGCACTCCAGGCAAAAAAAGGGGTTGGCACTTTAGCGAGACTCTGGGGTTGGGCATTTCAGGGAGCCTCTGGGGTTGGGCATTTCAGGGAGTGTATGGGGTTGGGCTCTCTGAGGGAGTCTCTGGGTTGGGCACTCCAGGAGACTCTGGGGTTGGGCACCCTAAGGTTGGGCACTCCAGAAATTGTCAACTCCAGGGATTCTCTTGGGTTGGGCACTCCGGGGAGTCTCTAGGAGCAGACCGGGCGAGGAGAAGAGTTCCGGCGAGGAGAAGAGTTTAAAAAATCTAACAACCCCACACCGAAGGTGGGGAACCATGACAACTCCAGCCATGCACCACGGGGGGGGGGGGGGGGGGGGGGGGGGGGGGAAAGAAAAAAACAGCCACGAGGACGACATGAAGGATCGGCCACTGCACTACGCAGCGCTGGCGGGCCATGCCGAAGCCGCCAAGGCCGGGTTCCAATGGGTCCATGCTGGCTTGGACTTGGGCTTGCAGTTCGCAGACTTCGCAGGAGCTGGTGGCGGCGGGCGCGGACCCCTGGGCAGAGAACTGCTTTACCGAGACTGCGCTGCAGGACAGCTCGGGCATCCTTGTCTAGGGGTGCATACCATAAGCACTGCATAGGTAGATTCGCTGAAATATGCAAAAAGCAGCTCCGAACAGCCTCCTTTTTCTCGAGGTGGCGAGGCAGAGCCCTGCTGCCTTCTTGGGTGTGGACACTGCGGCGGTTCGTGACTTTCTCAAGGCCCATGAACTCAGAGGAATTCTTTTTGAATGCTTCTGGTCGATTTGCCTTGGGTTTGGTCGCAGACCGTGCCGGGTTTTGCGATACAGCTTGATCGTGAAGTGTGGTTTGCCATCCTGCTTCACGCTTCACCAGGGAAGCTAGCATGGAAGATGGCGGATTGTTGCTTGCCTCCCCTCAAGCACCACACTGCCAGGAAACCACAGCGGCCTTTCCATCTCAGCTGCTGGGATGCCGAAGCGTTTGCTGTTGGGTTTCGGTGCATGTAAACACACAAACCCCAGAGGCATGGCCAGAGATTCCGTCGGAAGTCCATCGCACCGTTGCGCAATTTTGGTCTTCTGTTCCTGAACCATGATTGGCATCCTCGACCCCGATACTCTGCACATGAAGCTCCACAAATCCGAATGCCTTTTGTTCTGCGAAGCCGTCAGCATAACGTGTTAAAAGAGCCAAGGAAGATAATGAGCTTGTTTCGGGCCTTCGTCCGCGACCAGCGCCGACCATCGGCCGCCGGAAGCGGCGCGCGTGCTGCGCGGGAACTCGCCAAGCCTTAGGTGCGTCTGACATTGACATGGCGAATCATGGCGAATGCCTGCCAGATTCAGGGTTGTCCTTGCATGAGGGTTTTTTCAGGACCGGCTCTAGAGTTCATGCACAAGGTTTGCTGATGGGAACTCGGAACCTAAGTAACCACTTATAGCAGAGATTGGCCTAAGCCAGATCACTTGGAGCCTTAGAGCCGTTCTTGAACAAAATGAAGAGAAAGAGAAGCTGATGCTCTTAGGCAACAGCTCCACTTTCCAACTCTTTCCAAAAGGAAGCTGGGCATGTTCAGGCTGAAGCCTTGAGCCAAACTTGCCGGAGGCAGACCAGCTTCGACACGTTATTGCCGTAATATGGTGGAAAGACCTGCAATGCACCAGGCTCTCTGCGCAGGGCGCCTGCATGGGGTGATGAGGGTGTGGCTGCTGCTGACTTTCTATCCACCGAGATTTATGTTAATCATGTTGGCTGCGGTACAACACTGCGGCGACATTCAAAAGCAAATGTTTGATGCGAGCACGCTGCTGTGCTTTTTAAAGGAAAGCTATGGAGCTGCTCTGTTTAGTCACGGAAGGCATGAGCTCAAACAAGAAACATGGCATTGAGGGGAGCTTGAGGGTTCCCCCCCCCCCCCCCCCCCCCGCGGCCCCGCCCAGCCTGCCCTGCCCTCCCGCACGCGTGACCTTGTTGAACTTCAGCAAAGCACAAATAGCACCGCCTCCACCACCACCAGCGTCACCTTTGTGCAAGTTGACAATCATGCTGCAGGCGGGCACTTCAGCTGCCGCTTGACCGCATCAATCCTTCACGATCACAAATCCTTCGTTCATAGTTGGCTGGTTGGCCCTCGTGATGGGTTGTCTTGGGCCTTTCGGTGGCTTGTCTTGCAGTTGAGACAGAAACATTATTGACAAAATTGAAAGGATCGAGCTCACGGGGAGTTTTCCCGCAACTACTCGCCAGAAGCAGAGAGGCTCGTTCAACAACAGGGAATGTGAGCAGTGCGCACCGCATACCAGTACCTGTCATACTGGATGCTAGCCAGCTAGAGAATGAACGGGCCGGCAGGCAGAACATTCGACACCAGCGAACTCTTCGCAACCCTAAATACTTAAATCGCCAGGGGTTTGTTCAGCAGCCATGTAAAGCAAAGTCACCGGAACCTAAAGAATCCGTTTGCCCAGGAAGCTCGCATCTTCATGTCGTCGGCTAAGTGGTCCTTCTCTTGTTCTGTTCTGTGAAGTTTGGAATCATGGGCTCAAGAGCTGGAGAGCAATGACCCATCATGCCATGGAAATGTGTTGGGGGCGACGTCTGCTGTCCAGAAGTAGTTCGCAGGATTGTACATTTCAGCAGCATGTGAGTTTGAGATCTGGAAGGGCTCGCGCTCCAAGAGCCTACCGGCAGTGCCGTACTGTAACCCTCGGGTCAAGTCAGTTTCTCCCCCGATACCGAACGAATCCCCGCACTGCATCTGCGCGCTAGGCAGCACACCGTCAGCGACTTCGGAGCCCGCCCAGACACCTTTGAGTTCGTTGTGTCACTTTGGGCTGGCGGGTGCAGGACAGTCTGGGAGATGTAGGGTCTGCAGGTTTACGAGACTGGCTCCGCTGTGGGAATGGTGAGAGGGTCTTGGCATTGCGAATCCTAACCCAGGGCTCAAGAAAACGAATTCCGCGACTGGAAGGGTTCATGGCGCACTATGAGTTCACAGCTGAGCTTTCAATATGTTCGCCGGAAGCCTGACAGCCGACTCGAAAGGTGCATAGGAATTTCTTAGGGCACGCGTTTTTCCGAAAGTTTTTAGGTTCCGCATATTGGAAGAACATGGACAGTGGTAACTTTGGTAACTTCCGCCCTCTCCCGCCCCTGCCCCTCTCCTTGCTCTGCCTCTTACAATGATCCCAAATGCCAGCTGGCGACCAGCTCCAGGGTAATCACTGTCGAGCTGGAGGCTGGCAGCCTTTCATAGCCCTTTATATCCCTTTATGATAGCGGATACCTCGAGATGCTGTCTGATAGCTTTTGGCGGATTGCTTCTTCTTCGAGCCAGTTGCTTACACGGTTTGGGCAGCCATGATCCCTGGACGCAACAACCTCACTGCAGTCTTGGACCCCATACACATTCTGCATAGATCTGAGGAATGTTCCGCAGCATCCTGGTCAGGTAGGGATGTCGCCACTGCGTTTTGTGGTGGACACCGCGTGCTACCATTCTGTGATGAAGGAGAAACACAGTGCCTTCTGCCTTCCGCATGTTCCTGCCACAATAGCTAGTACAACATACTAGGAACGGCGGCACTGTGCAGCTGATGGCTATGGCAACATACCACCAAATCGACATCATTGCCATAGGTCATTTTGTGTCCTACTTGCAAGCGCCGAAAGAGCGAGCGTTTGTGTCCCGCAAAGATGAGGAAAGTAAGTCGGCCACATTTTGCCAGGAGTCCTTGGCCAGCAATCTGTTCCAGGCCGTTACTCTGATAGTGCTTTAGGGAGATTTCCCGACCCAACAAAGCCTGTCAAAGCTGCACTTCCCTGGCCTCCCCAGCTCACTTAACTTTTAACATTGTTCTTGCACCGTCTCGAAAAAAGTTGAATCACACCCCTCGCGTTAGACGACTCCTCTGAGCGCGAGTCTGTACAAGCTAGATGAGCCATCATTGCGCTCCTGTTGTGATCGACTGCCATGTTTGCCTTGCCTTGGAGGCTGGTGGAGCCTTTGAGAGAACACCACAAGCCTTCTGCCATGCACAGCTCTATACTCACCCCCAAGAAGGCTGCCTTTTGCGGAGCGCCGGACTGGGCCGAGGAGCAGGCCGGCGGCTTAAGGATGCTTATCTTTGAGCACTACCGAACAGGAGCAGTCACGAGCCTTCGCAAAGTAGAGTGTCAAGAGTTCAGCAGACGATCGCGCTGGTGGGTTTTTGCTTTCCATGGTTCTCGATGTATTGGTAGGCGGCGGGTACAAACACAGGGCGCCCCTAAAGCTGTCAAGCCTTGTTATGCAATGGCTCGCAGTGTTCCACATAATCTCACCGACGGAGAGCCAAGATCGATGATGCAAGTTCAACACATGGTCGGTGGCCTAGCTAGGTACCCAAACCCACGAACCAGGACGGTGGCAACTGACCTGGAACTCTGCAGTCCGACCGCTTGAACACCAGCTTATGCAAAGAAGCAGGTAGGAGCAAATAGACTGGTGGAAGCCAGTTTGTCGGATAGCTTCATGGCTGCTCGCGCGCCGGATATACCTGGTATTCCAGACAAAGCGCTTCTTTGCAGCAGACGAGCATTGTAAAACAGCGTGCGGAAGAGGAAGAGCGTCGTCCTGCCCCCACCTCAAGTAAGCCGAAAAAACCAGCATCCATCAGCATCCATTTGCCCTGGCAATGCCTGCGCAAGCCGAGGAGTGCCACCTCCATGTCTCCGCAGGACCCGTAAACGTAGCTGGCGTAGTAGCTTCACGTTGGTTTCACATTGGTTCAGTTGCAGGGTTGTAACCCTGGCGCATGCTTGTCAATCCTATTGACGCTCTGCAACCCAGAAATGTCCAGAACCAATCAGGACATTCAACATGCTCCAACCTGCCAGCTATCAAACAAGGCTGTGCCATCTGGGATGGAAATGCCTGATAGACCCCCCAGAAGTTTGCAGCTCGCTACCTTTGCCGATGTTGTTGACCAGTTTCAGGATGGCAGAAGCGGCGAGGAGTCGCAGCTTCGCGCATGGCTAGCGGAGGAGCGAAGAAGCGAAGATTAGCTGACAATACAACGCCAATTCATTGGCGGGACTCTGCTGCCTTTGGTTGCATGTCTCACGATTGTTTTTGCAGGAGTTGACACGGCAGAACGTGGCCATCTGCCGCCACTTGGACGAGGCCCTGGAAAAGCAGGCCAAGCGCCAAAATAGCTGCTCGGCAAGTGGGCAATGAACGTGAGAGGGCTATATGTAACAGTACAGCTAAAACTACTTCGGCTGGTTAGCCGTAAGCTCTCATAGGCCTCCGAGCTATCTCTGAGAAGAGGTCTGGGTTGAGTCATCTCGGTGTTCGAGCTTTCCTACGAGTACACTTGTCTGGCCCTGGAGGGCCTTGGCCATGCAGTTTTCAGCTGGCAGCCGTGCTCAGGTGTGATGGAGCAGCTTGCGCAGAATCTTGGCTGGAGATGGGAATGTGATGAGATGAGTGCTCTCGGCCCTGGCCCCCGCGATCTTATCGTGTAAACCAAACAAACAACCTACAGGCACTCAGCTCTGCCTGGACAGGCTTTGGGTGTGCAATGCACTAGCTTGAAATTTCATGTTCCCAAGTACCTGCTTGCGGGACCGCCTCTCGAAGAATGAGCCTTCATGAGCTACTGCAGCTGGCGCTGGGCCGTTTGCAGAAGCCCCAAGTCTCTAAGGAAGAAAACCCAAAGACTTTTAATATGGAGAACAGCACGTAGACTTAGACAGTACGACGGCAAATGGTAGCTCGTCTTGGCCTTCAAAGCTTCGATAGAAAGGTAATGAATTATGAGATCCTCTGAGGAATTTCAGCTCGACGCAGAAGAGCATGCAGAGCGATCTCCGAATGGCCGGTACCATGGTGGCAGAAGTCATGCAGCAAGCTTGGTTCCTGAAATCCATCTTGGAGCCCGATTGTTCCACCATAAAGGCAAGTCCCCAACTCAACCCTGAGCTCGTACGATTCTACGATTGCGTAGGCGAAGCCGCGCTGGCAGATGAAATCGAAGCCGTGAGGGAGTGGACAAGCCATCAAGCGCTTCAAACACGCTTGAAACACCAACCACAACACCTTTCCAGCTCCGTTCAGGTTTGGCCTTCCCGCCGCCGGAGCGCGCGGAGTCCAAGACGCGAGGCCTTTCGAAATGTCGGAACATGTCAGAACCCTGAGAGCCTCTAAGAGCCGAGACCCGCTGCACGAGGCATGGCAGGGCACGAGCCCCCGCCCGTGCCGAACGCCTCGTCGAGGAGCCGCAACTCTTCAGGCAGCCCCGTGGTAGTTTCCCAGAAGCCCCCAACCATCCCCAACCTGACTTGATGCGTGCGCCTGATGACTGTAAGCGGATCCAGCGCATGCCTGAAGACTTTTGAGCATGACATGGCACGGGCATTTGCAACGGCCTGGATACTGTTGGCCCCCGTTGACTCTGAACATCTCTAAACGTAAAGTTACAATGAGCTATAACAACTTAAATAAATAAATAAATATATATATATATCTATATATATATATATCTATATATCAATATAAATAAATAAATATAAATATAAATATATATATATATATATATATTTATATTTATATTTATATTTATATTTATATTTATATTTATTTATTTATATATTAACCTATCATAACGCACAATAGCCTGTAACAACCGAAAATGGCCGGATTTGAGCTCAGGCTTGCTTCTAGGACTCTCGTGTCCATCCGCTCCATCCCCCCTTCCATCGCAGATACGTCGAGCCTGAATACTGCATCCACTGAGAGCCACGAGGTGGCCTGCCTGGGGAGGACTTCGGTCTGTTCAGGTTTTTTTGCGAACATACTCCACCTGTTCCCCCAAAACCTTCCGTTCACGTTTTAAGAGTAGCGTTGTAGCTTCTCGAAACGGGGAAGGACGAAAAGGCACGCAGCACATGTAGCCTTTGCCCCTGCTTTTACATGTTTGTGGTTGGCATCTTCTGGCTTGTGGACTGCCTTTTTCGGGCTTCGATTCCAGTTGTTCTTGAGGGCACTGTCTCTTGTCAGTGGTTTCATCCTTGGTTCTTCTAAAACTCACACTTCATGCTGACTTGATAATCAGAATATCTAGAAGATGCAGAGTTAAGTATCTAGGCGCAGTCCACCTGCCGTGATGTGGCTTCCGAGTAAGCAGTGCAGTACGGACCTGGGAGCTTGTTCAGAATTCAATCTGCGGTTCGTGGGCGCCAGCATGAATTACAGATTTCACGACATTGGCAGCAGAAGTCAGGGTCGTTCAGCGATCGGAGCCAGAAAACTGCCTTGTTCAATCTTCGCTTCAACCAGGTCGATGGAAATCGGCGTCCATCGAGGATGGAGAAGGCGGCGGTCAGCCCTGGGGGAAGAAGCTTCATGACGGGGATCCAGCCAGTGGAACGACCTCCTGTCCGGATAGCTGTATCCCGACTTTCTACTTCGACATGCGAACATCTTGCTGTATCGCGGGTCAGCTTGTTGGCTGGATGTGCACATGATTCCACATGGCTGAAACTTCCGAGCCTGAACATGTCTAAGCCTTCGCTTTGGTTTGCGGTCAATACCAATATCGAACTTTGTTGCAGGCTTGGCAAGAAGCGCAGGAGGAGGAGAAGAAGGCGATTTGCATCATGTGGAGTAGCTCTCCACTGCCGGGAGGGTGCTGTGATCCCACCATCTTGGTTGTGAATGCGAAGAGCAAAGTTGCAAGCAACCTTCCCCTTCCCAGAGTCAAACCGCAACTTCTGTCAATCGAAGAGACCTAGAGCATGAACAGAGAGTTTTCCAAGACAGTTTCTAGCTGTTCCTTCGGCCAGTAGATGCTTTGCAAACCGACTGCGAACACACAAGCGGCAAAACCTGAAGCCATGGCAGGAGAAGGGAGAGAAAGCCCTCGCCACTTGGTCTCGCGATTCCTGGTACAGGGCACTCGCCACTTAGTAACCTGCACCGGCAGCCTGCGAACACAAAAGCTGCACTCCTCAACAAGCGACAACCATCAACAAGTGCTCTGAGTGCCATCTATCGGTGCTTGGGACGAGCTTCACTATTTAATTCGAGAAGACTCTGGTGATTCTAGCATGGCCTCTCAGGCCCTGGGGACCACCTACAATCGGCTGGTCACGCGAGTGGAGATCGACTTTAAGGAGTCGGTGGCTTCGACAGCATGGATGAGCTTGGGGCTCGCACCACATTACCTTGTTAGGTAGGCTCATGAATTCCTGTGTAAGGGTCAGGGTACCCTCCAGGTTTGGCTGGGGGGGAGACTTGGAGCCCCTTTGAGCAGTCAGCGTTCAGGTTGCATGTCAAATGTGGATGATGAGCTTTGGTTTTCAAGGCTACTATGCACGTCAATCAAACTCGTCTAGCTGCCTACCTGGATTTTTGCGTTGCCTCTGACGAAGGTTGTGGACGCCGTGGTTAGCTTTCTGGTAGCCTCTTGGCACAAAGCCTCTGCTCATGTGCTTGGATTGGTCCACTGCAGTAAATGCCCAAGCTTAAACCTCTGTAATGCCTGAAATCTTTAAATGCCTATACCCCAACTCAACCAATAAGACTGCAGGTTGCAGCGTCAGGCATGGAGACATAGACGACATGGGCCATGGGCCATGGGCCATGGCATCTGACACAGATGCCTCGTCGGCTTTGTCACATCAACTTTAGGAGTTTAGGATGGCGAGAAGCACCCGATCACCCGCCCCCGTTACTTCACCCTGAAACGCTCCTCGAAAGCTCCACGAAGTCACGCCCAATCTTGCGCTCTACAGTGCTGCTACAGGTTCTGTACACATTCATTCTCCTCCTGCAAACCCAGTGGAGAGGTTCCCAGGCCGGGGTGTTGACCATGGCTTGTTTGGATTAAACTTGAATCCGGAAGGTCAAGCTCGGCAGGTGCTAGCGCGTTGATTCATTGATATTCTTTGCCATGTAATTTATGTCAAGGCGTCGGCAGAGTAAATGCCCTGACCCTTGCTGTGTAATGTGAAGTTTGATCACGTGGGTGGGAGTGTGATATGCTGTCTGAACAGAAGAATAGCAAGTAGTTCGACATGTTGTTGAAGCAGAATAAGAAATTAAGTAGCCCGGAATAGCCTCCCTGCCCCCGGCCTCCATTTGATTCAGGTCAAGGAAACTCAATTCTCGACACGGAAGACAGTTCCATTGAAAAGTAGTCCAGCATAGTGCCAGGCCGCCAGGCCCCGGGAAGCCCCCAATTGTGTTTTTTTGTTTGGGGTGGGGGGGGGGGGTAGTTAATCCGAGCCGCACACGCGCTGCTTTGAGTCCCCCACTCGCTGTGGCGTGGTTTGTGGATTACCTACTGTGCTGCGGTTGTGAGGTTTACGGCTTAAGTTTCAGAATGGTTCGCCGTGTGACCAAAGTATTGCAATGAAACCAGCAGGAAGATGCTGCATGTGTGTAGAAGTACTTGCTGCAAAAGGCTCCCTTTCTTCTGAGCCGAAGCGGGGACTCTTAGAATATACGTATTATCAGCTCGGCTCTATGCTTCCACCCGGCTTGGCATGGGATTGAAGCACAGCAACTGGGTCACTCGCACACTCCACCACCACAAACAATTCCTGACCTCTGTCAACAACCTCAACTACTACTTGCCTTGTCGACCTGCACAAACCAAAATTTAGAGCTGTCACGAAGAGCTGTAGCAAGTCTTATACACAGCCGACGTGTGTTGATCATGGCGACAGAGGAATATCCCCACGCGTACTGTTTACGGTTTATGCCGGAAGCACGAGGTAGCCAGGTTAGTAGTTGGGCACATCAGATACGCGCATTGAGTAATTCTAAGACTCCACGAAAGGCCGCGGTCATCTTAGGGCTCCAAGAGCCTGAGTCCGACTCCTGGCCGGGCGCCGATGCCCGGCAGCAAGCTTCCCAGAGCTCCGATCAAGAGTTTTCAGCTATGTCTCGTTTCGATGGGCTGATAAGTGTTCACAGGATTCCAGGTCACGCAAGTCACACCCGTTCGCCCCAGTCGTGCCATGGACTCCTGAGCTCGGCATGTAGATGCAGAAACCTCAAGATAGTAGACGGTTGGACCATTCTGCAGAAGCAGACGGATGTACCACGACAGCCATGTTCAGCATCACTTTGCAAGGAGATGGCCTTCTTCATAGTGGATCACGTGTTCAACGCCGTGGCTTGGCCTCGCGCATGTGAGGGGTCGTTTTAACCGAGGGCTTCGTGGCACTGAATCTTACATCCTCCGCTCACAGCCGGGGAACTTGCACTAGACATATTTCAGGCTTACGGCTGCATCCTACATTGTCACCCCTCGGCGTATGCATACATAAAACCCCAGATTTACCCCGAGCCTCGGGCGCACATCTGCTTTACTCATGCTCAACGAGTGCAGTGTAAGAGTTGCAGTAGGATTGACAGTAGAGCATGCCATGGTTTAACTTCTGGTCTCGAATTAATTGCGATGCAAGTTCACAGCAACACCCGACTTGCAACATGCGACTCATCGTCTAGCTCTGCTTGAGCTGAGATCTTCGTTCTGGAGATAGCGTGGCGCTTGCACATGCACAAGCTCCAATTTCTCTGCGATGTTTTCGGCGTATTTGACATGCTCGTCGTCGTGGCGACCAGCATCGATGTCTACGTGCTGCGGCCTGGCTGACGAATAAGGTAGTGTAAGGCTTTAGCAGAGGACTCGGCATACTGAGGGCGCATGCTAGGGTGCGATTGCAACATGCATTGTCCGATTCCGAGGCAGCCTTTCGATGCGGGCTATGCACAAAACTTTGCTGTAGGGCGACTGACTCGCATCTTCCGTCTGATGCGAATCTTCAGGCTGGCAGGGTCCAGTAGAAGTTGAGATGGCGCAGGGCAGTGTAGGGTGTGGGGAGAGTTAAGCCAAGGCCACAAGGGATTGCGATCAGCAAGATTGGTTTACCGCTGTTCACGCGCGTCATGCCAGTCATAGTCAGGTGAGGTGCGAGGAATGAAGTACACGGCGATATTTAAGCTCCGGAGTGAACGGCGTGTATGCCAGGGTTCTTCGAGTCATGCGCTTCGCCAAGAATCTGCAGCAGCTGCCTGCCTGCTATGTCATGCGATTTTGAAACGGCTTTGGCAGGCAGCTGTACAGTTTTGCTCCCAGAGCAACACTGCAGCTATTTTGAGCACTGGGTGTTGCAATCAGTTGGAATCCGTTCTTTCCAGTCTCGGCTTTGTGTCTGCGCAATTTTGAGCATGAGATGCATGAGGCTCCGGCTGCTGGGGGATGTTCTCGCCGCCTCCTCAGGCTGAGAGGACCACAGAAACCAACTCAATACCCACCATCTCCAAGCCGCACGGATACGCCCACATGCTCAGTGCAGTCCGGTGATGGCCGAGGGCCTAGGCCTCTGCAGGGCTGCGATTGATTCATCTGCATTACCCTATTTGCGTCAGTCGTGGCCAGTAGCCTTATACTTGCTCTCCTTCAATGATTCCATGCTTGCCTTCCCGAGTCCAAATGCTTGAGCCCGTTGATGTGGGCACTACTGGCCGTGACCTGAGCAGACACGGCGTTCAGACACGCGGAGTTTGGGCACAGAAGGCATCTCTTGCGCAGCTTGAAGCCAACATTTCTGACTATCAGAATCCAGGTGACCCGCAGTGGTTTGGATCCCAGATTCGACCAGATCCGAGGTGCTGGGCATCATCATGGTTGGCACGGGCGTTCTGATGTCCCAACTGCTTGTGGAGCACGTCCTCGATACCACGGCGGATGAAGAGAACCGGATGTGGGTTTATGCATCCTGACTGCCAGCTTGAGCATCGCGCTCGTGCCGTCAAATTTTTACGTGTAGCAACGACAGCTCTCAATCAAGATTACATGTATTCGAAATTCATGCCAGATGATGCAAGAGGCCTTTCACAGGGCTTTTTGGTGGGTCCCCAGAGCAACTTTGGAGCAGTCCTTGACTGCGAGTGGGTGGCTCCTCCGTACTGGCAGCAGTTTAACATGTTTGTGGGGTAGAGCTCTGCCTTCCCCAGAACTACTACGGCACTGCGATCAAAGCCACGTACTCTGTCTTCGAGGCGACCTTCTCGGGCTCCTGGTCACTTGGGGAGAATTTTTGACCATGCTCACTTGAGATGGCGGTTAGCTTTGCGTGGTCCTTCATGTTGAGACGATCGCCATCGATCGCCCAATCCCGAGCCCCGAGCCCAAAAACGCGACTTGAGGCCCCTCCTGGCGCGGCCCTTGATCCACGAGGTGAGCGAGTGGCCCCTGAGCTTGAAAGCCTGCGAGGGACGTGTAGCTGCCTGTATTGTGGCGAATTCTCAGTGAAAAACCAACAGGTCTTCGAAATGATATCACCAGCTTCCCTGTCGTTGGGTCTACAGGAGATTCCGGGAGAGTTTCAAGTTATAGGGTGCATTAGGTTGTCGCTGGTGTCGCTGCACAGAACTGAATCCTCTCTCCCCAGCAGCAGCCTGCTCCGAAGGTTTTGTGTTTTCTGGATTGCGTATCAAGTCGCATCTCGTCCTGCATTAGCAATGCATTGGATGCACTTTGACTTAACGGCCCCAGCGAACCCAACTGAAGCTCCTGGCAGAAGATGGCAAATGTGGTTTTGTCTTGTGCATGTTTGCTCCGTGTTTTTTGTACTTGAACGCTGCTGGATGCGGCCTCGTGCCCAACTAGGTTGGGGAGCTTGCAATCAGGTCATCGGTTTCGCCGTGATGCGTGTCATCGGCGCCTTGTTCCTCAACGAAACGCACCTCGGAATCCATACTCATGAGCTACGCAGTTCTTCGATACCTGCTACCTGCCTGAAGCTGTAGCACGCAATATCTGCTTGCAGCACTACTAACGAATCTACACACACAATAGACCGAAAACTAGTATGCTCTCTCTCACTCTCTCTCTACAAATATATATATATATATATATATATATTTATATTTATAACCACACGATGCAATTGGGCCGAAGAGAAAAAACCTAGAAATCTCAGCAAGAAATTGCTCCACGATTGGAGGAGGCATTCTACATTTTCTTCTGAGTCTGAGAGCTGTGCCAAAATCTGCTTTGAGTATATTGTGGTGGTTCCCTTGAAGCTTGTTTGCACATCCGCATGCACCAAGGATTCGTGCTGCCAACTCAGACGGTGAAGCAGAGGTGAGCGGAATGCCGGGAGCGTTTGCGGCAAAAGGGCCAGCTGACAAAAGCCTTATAAACTTCCAGCATCAGATCAACAACTGAAAGCATGATCGGACATGCATAGTCGCGGGAAAGGCTGGAAATGCAGCTGCGGGCTGCGTCCCGTCCCTGACCCTCTGACAGACTCTGACCCACCCAAGAAGACACCTTAAACAATTTTTATGGTCCTTGGCCCAGATCTGGCCCAAGGCTCTAGTGCCGCCTGTCTTTGAGCAGCCGTTTTTTTTTGGAGGTACTCCGGAAGATGAAGGAGAAGGAGGCGTTCAGCCAGAAGGCTCTCGGATTGATCGCCACATCTGATTGAAAAGTAGCTGCAGCAGCAAAACTCGACTCGCAGTCAATGCCGGACTTCGGTAGATCCAAAAGCCTTGCTCTCACGCGAGGTCTACCAATTCTTCACGGCTGCCGCTTGGCACGTACTGCCGAACTGGAACAGGTTGAGTTGTGTAGACCTTTGTAGACCTAGTGCGGCACAATCCACGAAGTCCACTCCATCCACGCCAAAGGTATCCAAAGGTGGTCTACTGTAGGGGCAAGTACAGGCTTGGGGTTTGGAGCTCAGCTAGGGGGGTTAACCGCAAATAGCAAGCATGTTCAATCTAAGCTGTCAATATTGCTGAAGGTGCTGCGTGTGGGATATCCCCGACCATCGTATGCACAAGAAGCTGTGAGGCTCTGCCAACCTGCGTCACAGGACTTTCGTCATGACCGGTCTGGAACTCGAACATGGGGCCCTCGAGCCCTAACACCACAAACCAGAAACTTCCACCTCTCTCCCCCCAAAATCTAGTTTGCAGAGGGCACTGCGGGTAAGGCCGATGCTTCGGGCGACGGGCGCCTTTCCTATGAGGAGCTTGAGGCAGCTTTGCAGGCTGCGGCGGGGGTTGAGGGTTCACATAGGGGTTTAGGTTTGGGGGTGATTTTTTTTGTAGATGTAGAGTTTCAGAGTGTTTTTGAGGGATTGGCGCGGCGCGATTGAAGTTTTCTTCACAGCTGGTCAGCGTTGTTTTGGTGCGTGCGTAGCCCATGTTTAGGTGTAGCATGATGCGTCCTCAAGCACGCACATCGTCAGCAAAAGAAGGCGCAGATTTGCAAGAGCTTAAATTTCGTCCCCTGAACCTCGCCACTGCGCTTGAGATTGCTCCCAGCATCTACCGGAGTGAAGGCATGTGTTCTTGAAGCCTCATTCTCGCGCGCAGGTTGACACCATGAAATCAACTCAACGTAGGCATCCAGTCCGTGTTAGCAAACAATATAGGAAGTAGAACTCGAGCAGGTCAGCCTGAGCTGTAGAATGCTTGGTCAGGAGCCGGGAGTAGAGGCCTGGCTTAAGGCTCTGGAGCTCGAGATCCACGTTACTCGGCAGAGAGCTTGTTAGGCCCACAATCTAGGCCTCCGGATATTCGGGCCGTTTCCAGACATCAGGCCCGGGGCTTCCGTATCGCAATATCTCTTCTGTGACAAGACAAAGACTCGGCCGGGATGCTGTCGGTCTAGGCCCGTTGTACGGCCTAGAAGTGCACTGCTTTGGCCCAAGGAAGCCTACACTCTGTTTAGCCTGCTGGATGACGATCGAGATGGAGAGGTGTCCTACGCCCCCTGGCCCTTGAGAGTGTCACCCGCCTCACACGTGTTGAGTTCAAGACTTAGTCTTGGGTCTTGGAGTTCCTGAGGGACTATGTAAACCCCATGAATAAACCCTATGAATAAACCCTATAGGCCCTATGGCCTTGACCACAGTACATTTTAGGCCCCGTCGAGGGTCGAGGCATGTTCAAAGTGCTCTCACGGATCCGAGGAAGAGTTTCTTCACAGCGCCCTCAGACTCAAGGGGAACGCCCGGGCCATCGACTCCATCATGATAATGCATGAGCAGCTGCCTGGAGGGCAAGGAACTCCAAGCCATTAAGTTCTCGGCTTATCTCGGCTTCTCCTTAGGGGATTCTACGAGCCTTGTGAATCGTGATGTTTCTAGAGGTACAACACTGTCACAACACAGCTCAACAAATCTACTTGATTTCTGATTCTCGCAGCAGGGATCATGGTGACATGCTTGCAGCCCTACACTGGAAACATCCCTGAAGCAAGCTTTGGAATCGCCAAGTGTAACAGCCGGAAAGCCAGAAGGACTTCAACCAAGGTTCGTTGAACCAGAAACCACTTCACAGGCACCATGTCAGCTCTCGTGCAATCCTCGAACCCAACTTATCCAACTCCCTCTGCCAGAAAGCCTGCGTGGGTGCGCAACAAGCCCCTGCCTAGTGTGCAGCTGCTACCCAGGGCAAAGATGCACGACGCCTTGAAGCGGCTCTCCGACATGGTATCTAACTCCTTTGATGAGGCCGGATTCCGGGAGCAATGGCAGCAACTAAGCAGGTCCTTAGGTATAGGCAGGTTTCAATGCTTTTTACCGCTGGCTCTGCGAAGCCATCAGTTCTTGCCACAGAGCAAAAGTCCAAGTTCGGCCGAAGAGGCCTCCGCCAGGAAGCTCCGCAAAAGTGCCATATGCCAACAGGCTTTGAACATCTCAGAACCTCAGGAATGAGTGTTCGACAGCTGCTTTCAGGACCGAATCCCTATACACACCTTAAAAACGTCACAGGCTCAGAAGATCCGTGACCGCATCGAGGGCAAGTCCCAAACGCCGGCGGATCTCAAAGTCAAGCCGACGCTGCTGGTCTTGTAAGATTTGTGAATTGTTAAGAGCCTCCTAGATCAGATTTTTCTTGGTGGATGTGTGTGACCATCCCTTGCAGACTCCTCTCAAGATGCCGTGCAAACAGTTGGGAAAGAGTGCTGCGCTTGGCCCTCTTCGTCTCTTGCAGCCTCACAGCTGTCAACATCGCCCTTCTGTCAGCCGGAAATTCTTGGAGCCAGGGAGGTAATAATGTTTTATCTAGTTGCCACGCTTTACCCCCACAACCCGATCAGCTCCACTCGTAGCAAGGCATTCGCAGCCGCCGCCGCCGGAACATCGCAACTCTGCGACACTTGCCTCGCAGAAAAACCTCCACTTCCCGCTTCTCCCCTCACCCTCCTGCCCCACCCCCGCAAAACCGCTCTAAGTAGGTTTAGAGTCAGGTTGAAGGGATTGGGTTTCAGGTCCTGAGCACCGCTCAAATCCACCCATCTACATCTTGCCTTCTGGTCGTGAGGAGGGCGGGGAGAACTGTTCGGCCATTAAAATACGGAGGGGGTTAATGCTATGGAAGGGATTAACAAGCTTGAGCGCAAATTCTCAAATACAAAGCTAACATCTGCAAAGCCTGACGGCGGTTTGAACAGGCTGCAACCTGACGCGCCAAGCCTCAAATTGGTGTTCATGCCATCCAGCCAGCTTACCATGGAGGGTCCGTGGCGCTGTGACAACTGAAAAAAAAGACTCCGTGAGATTCGGAGAAGCCGAACCTGTAGGCGTTTGTGCTGTATAGACTTCCGCAGACATGCTTAGTTGTGCAGCCAGATCCCAGCCTCAGGGGTTCTGGATTTCATTATTTCGAAGACCTCTTCCTCACGCCGGAGAAAGTCAAGCAGCGCCTAGCTCAGAGGAGGCGCGCGTCGGTGACAGTCAATGCTTGGCGCATCTACCTCAGAGCTGTTTGGTGATGGGTCAAGGCTGGCGCACGGCAAAGGTTGAATCTCTCAATCTCACATGGATTCAACCCAAAAAAGAAGGTGCGCAAAACTCATTATCAAAGCAAAAAACCAAACAGTTTGAGAACATGTGTGGCCAAGCAGCGGCGCTCGCATACTGCACTGGTATGATGCCTTTGTCCCCTTGCATGCCTCGCGTGCGATCCCGGCGTATCAAGGCTTTGCATTCGGTTTTGGGCCAGGACCTGTGCTTCTGTCTGCAATGTAGGGCATGCATGTCAAGCTGGTCCACACCTAGAAGGATATGCCGATTGGCTGGATCCCCTCCACCTACCTAGACGAAACTGACGAAACTGCTCTGCCCCGGCGCCAGGGCGTCCGAGTTGGCGATACGAAGACCCTCCCACCTGGAATGAAGCAGCTCAGAAGAAGAGGGAGCTTAGGCCCCCTCCCTGGTTGTTCTGAAAAAAGTTGCAAGGTGCTGCCGCAATGTTGTGCATGTTGTACGTACTGATATCACCTCACAACCAGCTGAGGCTGGCGAAGACTATCTGGATGCCGGTGCATGCCAGCTTTGCATCAGCCATGTCTTGCTGCTAGACATAGGATCAAAATCCTACTGAATTGGCGCTCCATTTGTGGAGACCCAATGTCAAGTCCACTGAAAAGCTGAGAGCGGCAGAGACTGGTGGCTGGGCGAAGCCTCGCGTTTTCCGAGCTGAAGGGACTTCTGGCCACGCTTCACATGAGTTGAGCTAGTTGATGTGGTTAAGGCTCGTTAAATTGCAGTTTAGAACCTGGACAACTGGAAGTCTGTGGCCTCTAGGGGCGGCAGGTGCGATGCTTTGTTACATTCGGTTTTCAGGATCGTTGCAGCAACGTTTGCCAAACACCTACTAGCGCAGTGCAGCTTGATGGTTGCAGCTTGCTTAGAGACTTCTCACATTCGTTAGATTTCGCTGGCCAGTGTCGCTACGGTGTCGGACAACACCGTCACTCCAGTGAGCAGCCAGTCGCCCAGAGAAGGAAAGCTGATGAAAGTTGTTTTGGAAACCGCTGCCAGTAGCGAAGTGAAACACAAACTTGTGAAACACGGCGGTCGGAAAGACTTGGAACCTAGCGAGACACAAAATTGTTGTCCAACGACTGCACTGCCTTCATCTGCCGTCCTGTCGTGGGGCGATTGTCATGGCTGCTTGCCCCTTGTACAGCCGGTCTGGAGCCATCCACAAAGCGTGTCCAACGAACGCGTGGTCCACTATCAGAACCCAAATGAAACTTAGCAACCCTGCACCACACTAGACACTTGAACCAGAGCTTGGGCCTGTGCTTGTGACAGGTCAGGGACTGCAAAGCAGACCCACACCCCGTCAGAACCGATAATGTAGACTTGTTCTTGTCGAAGAAAGCTGGGAGTCATGGAACATATGCTATCGACCTCTAAGTTCATTGAGGTTCCGCCTCCCAGCACAGAGGCTACACGACAAATCCTGCGAATTGTAGGACTTCACGGATTGATTGCTCGGAACTTCAATGCCACCGGGTCCAATTTGCAAGTTCTTGGCCATCCAACATTCGGCCCACCGCGAGCATTAGGGCACAAAGCTACTGCTTCAGGTTTTAGCACCTTCTGTATAAAGGCCTTCCTTATATAATTTGCCCCGCAAGCAAGGAGAAATGACGGGAAGCTTCAGGGTTTAGCCGGTTAAGCCTTAGTCGGAATGGAAGGAGATCATTCTTTCCAGTGGAATATATGTCACGACGCTGAGTTGTCACTTTCTGTGTTTCAGAGGTGCCGAGCAAGCACAATCGGATAACAACCGATCACGCCGAAACCGCATAACCGGCTGCACTGGCCAGATCGCCAACATGCCGGAATGTGAGAAGCAGCTTTGAGTAGAGCCAATGTTCCCGGCTTCAAAGGGGGCTAGAGAAGTCCAATCCGGCCGGTCCAAGTTTCAGTGCCAATGTAAGTTGGCATGCAGTCTTTTGGCGGTGCCGTATTGGAGGGTCTCGGCCGCGCGCTGACTCTTCGGATTTCTTTGGGCCTCCATGCTGTGGCCTGTGTTCGAGCACAGCACACTCCTGAGACATGGTGAGTTATCTGGTACCTGGTAGTGCCTTGTGCCGCCTTGAATGCGAAGCTGCCGGAGCTCTGTCATTGTTCTAGAATGTCCGTCCAGCGAGCTGAACTGTCTGCTCTGCTCCTAGAACACGTTATAAGTCCTTTTATGGCACAGTGGCGCTTGCGAAGCTCATGCCCGAAGCGTTGAACTTTGCATAGCTTTGCAAAGAGCGCAGGCTGCGGCATAGTCGTCCCGAGGACTCCGTGCTGATTCCGTGGAAGCCTTTGGCCCCAGCCTTTGAGGCGGATTGTCTATCATTCAATCGAAGTTTGGCTCTTCAGACTGGTTGTGTTCACCGAGAATACGTCGGCTTGTCCTCTGGAATCACGAGTCTCACCACGCAAGGCCGCCACCATGCCGTAAAGCTGAGGTCGGTTGTAATCGCATGGATACGACGCGCAATGGCCCATACCCTACGGCACCTACAAGATCTTCTTAGACAACTCTGTTCCATTCATTGACATGCATATTGAGGCTGTCTTGCGTTGTTCGCTTCGTCAGCGCGCAACTCACACTGGGGTAGGGTGGCCTCTTTCTGGGATTGCCGCAAGGAAACTTGCAAGCAGATGACCAGGACACTTTGTGCCACAAAAAAACACAAACCTTCACGAACCCATGTGAGTTGATACATCTCAGGGTGCGAGCATGGCCTACTGGCTTCGTGAGCATGCTCAGATTTCTATTGTATATACCTATATCTATATATCTATATATCTATATATCTATATATCTATATATCTATATATCTATATATCTATATATCTATATATCTATATATCTATATATCTATATATCTATATATCTATGTGTATATCTATATATCTATATATCGATATATCGATACAACTATGTGTGTATATATATGTATATATATATATGTATACATATGTATATATATATATGTATATATATATATGTATGTTCTCTGAACCTTCTGCAGCAATCTGTGGTTCGAGAGCGCCTCAGTCGCCAATGTCGCCACCATGGACATGCCTTGGAGCCCAAAATGTCCTGTGTTTCTTGGCAGGCATTGCCGCGGTAAAGGCAGGGCTTCAACACTACCAGTTATCGAACGCTGACTGTAATCCATTTGCTTTTGTCAGGACCTGTCACCCGCGTGACTTGGTTTGCAGTTAATGTGGAGAGTGGCAAACCTTAAGCCCAAAAAGGAGTGACCAGGGCGCGCGGC